ACGACTAATTTATCATATAAGTATTTAAAAAAATTTAAAAAGTTTCATGAATATTTTCTTTAATATATATAAGCATGCTTGTTATTTGCCGACAACGACTACTTTATCACATCATCATTTAAAAAAATTTAAAAATTTTTTATGAATATTTTCTTTAATATATATAAGCATTATTAATATTATTATTATTATTTTCATTTTTTATATTACGAATAAAATTTATATATATTTTTATTTATAAAATTTGTCTATAATCCTACTCATTCTTTGGCCGTTCAAACCACGCAATATGCGTTGACAGTCACGTTGGTCAAATCATCATTTCTCCAAGTTACACTGTCCCGCAGGTACATCATATACTTAACCGAAGCCGCAACCAACCCCCGGCGCAGCCATCCCGGAAATGCAACATCACATCACTCCACCAACTTCCCAACGCCATTTTCCGCTATATTAAGCGCTACCCAAATGAGTCACACAAATCCCCTAACCTGTAGCCTTTCCCGTGTCAGCAAAGCATTGGCTTTACAGCAAATAATTCCCACCATCAGTCTAATCAGCCACACGAACCGCTACACCACCACAAGTTTAATCCTGCGGCCCAACCAAACAAACCGCGCCCAAAAAGCCACGATTCTATTCTCCCACCTACCTCCTCTTCCGCCTTGCTATAAACCAAACCACTAATCCCCTGATTTTCTCAGCTAGGGATCGGACGCTAGTGTTCTCGATCTCTAGTGCTCTCGATCTCTAAGCTGTTATAGTTAAAAAACCCTAATTTAATCTCCACTTCATGGCAATAGGTACTCTATCTCACACCTCTCCCGTCGCCGCCAGCGGCTCCGCCGCTGGCAGCAGGAAACCGCTTACAATTTACGTTAGGGCTAATCTAAAACAGCATAGAAAGGGCAAAGAGGCTAATTGCCCCTTAAGCTCTTCCACTATGCATACAGCAGAGGTGCTCGCGTCTCGTCTCGGCCTTGACATAGCAGTCGCCGAACTAGAGCGCCTCTTCTCACAGCCCGGCGCCGATCCGCCGGACTACGGATTGAACGGCGGCCACCGCCGTCCAATCCGCGTGGCCTACCAGGGCGTCCGTGGTTCCTACTGCCATGAGGCCGCCACGACCTCGTTCCCCTCCGCCGCCGCCGTCGAGGCCTTCCCCTCAGGATTTTGGATGGAGGACGCCTTCTCCACCCTTGAATCCGGCTCTGCCGACCGCGCCATCATACCTGCCGAAAACTCCTTAGATGGTCCCATCGACCGTAACCTCGATCTTCTATTACGTCATCCCGCAATCCGGATCACCGGAGAACTCGTCGTACCCGTTAACCACTGCCTCCTAGCTGCCCCTGGCGTCGAGATCTCCGACCTACGCCGTATCGTCAGCCACCCGCAGGCTCTAGGTCACTGCGAGCGACGACTCCAATCTCTTGATCTTGAAGTAGAAGAGGTTGACGACGCCGCCGAGGCGGCGCGCGCGGTGGCGGAGGACCGGATCCGTGATACGGCCGTGATCGGAAGCAGGATCGCGGCTAAGGAGTTCGGACTTCGGATCATGGAACAGAGCTTCCATGACGAGGGAGGTAACTATAACCGCTTCCTCCAGCTGGGAGTGGGCGATGGGCCCCTTCACTGCGGTGAGAAGCGGAAGACGACGGTGGCGTTCTCGCTGGAGAAGGGAGTGTCAGGTTTGTTCCGGGCGCTGTGGGTCTTCGAGAGCCGGGGGATCCGGGTCACGAAAGTCGACCACCGGCCTAATAGAGCGAATCCGGTCCGTTTGGTGAGTCGGGCCGGGGGCGGGGAGTTGGCTCAGATGGATTACGTATTTGTGGTGGATGTGGAAGGCGGCGAGTCGGACAGTCGCGTGGCGGCGGCGGTGGCGGCGTTGGGCGAGATTTCAGGGTTCGTGCGGGTGCTTGGGAGCTATGCGTGCACGTGCGGTGCTTGAAGGAGGATGATGTGCAAATAACAGGATTAATTGTTAATATCAGAATTTACTTAATTACTTTAGAAATCAAAGTCATAATAAGGATTTTCATTTTTTAACCCTTTGTTCAAACCATTTGAGCTGAAGAGAGCAGCAGCTCAAAAACCGAATGTTGTTTGTTGTTTTTTGAAGCAAATTGCTTTGAGAAACTTTTATGAAGTGGATATTTTTCTACGGTGCTGTTTAAATTTTTAATCTTTGTGTAGATCTTGTGATGCACTTCAAAAGATATTTGCCAAAATTTAGCTAATATGATAATTGATATATTATTGAACGCAAGAGTCTCTAGAAAAAATTTAATGGAAAACTTTCAAAATTAAATTTGGAGTCATCCAAATTCTGATCGTCATGAAGAGACGAACCCAACGACATCAAAATCGGTCTTATTCAAATTCAAATGGGTCTAAATCAAGGGCTAGAAGCCTATTTGGAAGCTTCAAAATATTAATTGGATGACCAAATCATATCCAAATGTGGCTCGGCGAGAAAAATCCAACAAGCCCAACATCGTCAAATTTTGACATTATGAATATACTTAAATACTTGATAAACAATCTATAATTAAGGGAGTCAATATCAATTGTCCATTCAAAACACTCCCAATATACTCTTTGATCTTCTCTCTATTTGTTAGTCATACCACTAAAAAAAACTATAAATAAACCACTTATTCTTCACAAATGGGAGGAGGAAGAGAAAAAACGAAGGATTTCTCTTGTTTTTTCACGTTGCACCTAAGCATGTCAATATTTGACACGACCCAAAAATCTAACCCAAACTTGACCCAAAAAATTCATGCTCGGATCGACCCGATATAGAAATAGGTTGGGTTTGGTTTCTAATTTTTGACCCATTTATAGCTCGAGTCAACATGACACCCGGGTTTGACCTGGATTTACTTACAGTCAATTGTCAACACTTCAAACTTCTCCAACCCCGGTGCTGCCTGCTGCCTCTTAGCTTCTTGTCGCCGATTGCTAGAACTTGCTAACTCCGACACTTGCTGCTGTCGTCAACTGCCGGCACTCGATAACTCCCGCCCAAATGGAGTTGTCGTCGGACTGCACTCACTAACTACCACACTCATAGATTCGTGCTCGAAGGACGACACTCGTTGACTCGTGCACTTGCCCATATCGATCGGACGATACTCTCAGACTCTCGCACTCCCCAACCAGTCGACCTTGCTGACTCGTGCTGGAAAAACGGCAAGCGCTAATGCGCTTGAGCAGCAAACCTCGACGGAAGTCAAAGAACTTGAACCCTATTCCGGGTTCGCAGGTCGGGTTGGGTTAACATGTAACCCGAACGGATCTCCATTTGTAAAATTGAGTTAGGTTCAGTCAACCTGTTTGTGCCCGGGTCAACTCTAGTTGAACCCGAACTTAACCCGTTAACCCGAATTGACACTCCTACTTGCACCTCCCGGCCGCTTGCCACTGCTGGACTTTCATTTGATCGTTGAGATGCCAACCACTGCCAGACTTCCATTTGGCCGTTGATCGTTGTCAGACTTCCTTCAGGCCATTGTCGCTTGCCGACCATGTCGCCCGCTAGTTATGATCCTTCCATCATTGTCACATGTTTATGGTCTTTCCGACCACCATCACTTGACTACGGTCCTTCCGACCATCTTTGCCCTACTATAACCCTTATGACCACCATTATCCGACTATGATCTTTCCCACAACTATCACCCAACTATGTTCCTTCTAACCACCGTGCCCGACATATGGTGCTTTTGGCCACCATTACGATCTTTCCAAGCACCGTCGCCCGCTGACCACAGTTCTTCGGACCATCGTCGTCCGACTACTCTTTTATCTGTATGCCGCTGAATCATCATACAAAGCTAAAACACTAAATTTCATATTTCTCTACTGCCGTGATTATTCCAAAACATAGCAATAATAATGGAAAGTAAGCTAGAGATTATGCTTATATGTCAAGAAAAAAAAATCATTCAATAAAAATATAAATTTTAACGTAATCTTTCAATTAAAAACTTCTATTAGTAAATTTAATATCATTTGAATCTTGGTTTTAGTAAACTTAGAATTGAAAATCTTGAATCTTGATGTAACAAGCCCAATGACATGAAACATGTTTTGAGTCTAAGACTTTGTTTGGGACAACTTTTGACCATTGCTTTTTCACTGCTTTCATTTAATTTTTGTACAAGAAAGCTGCTTTTAAAATCAGTAAGAAAACCGTCCCAAACTAAGACTAAATGAGCTCAAATAAAGCACTTAACATTTAGTTATAGATTTATAACATTAATTAAAGAATGAAATTAACTAAAACATCTCAATAAGAGGAATCTAACCAACCTAATATTATTCAATAAAATACTTATTGATAAATGAACAAGCTTGAAAAGTTTAGTGTTTGATTTATTTATGATTATAACCAATATCATTTAAAGCATTTGAATAAGTAGATTAATACTTCGTTTGGGACGGTTTTCTTACAATTTTTTGAAGCAGCTTTGAATACAAAAATTAATTTTTTTTTTCTAAAAAATTATTTTAAGAAGGGGCAGAAAGTTGTCCCAAATGAAACTTAAGAAGCTCAATCAAAGCACGATTATATGCTTATTTAAGACTCGATTATAAATTTCTTTAATATGTGCTTATGTGAGAGTTTTATTTTTTTATTTTTTTCTTATTGGATTATTTTATTCATGAACATAAACTACTTGTTTATGCTTGTGAAAATATTCATTTATTTTATTGCTCATTGAATTAAAACCTTGTTTTTAAGCCATTATTTTTGTGCTCATAAATTGTTACTCAAAACTTTCAATCTATCTAATCAACCCACAAATTACTCAATTATATTGCTTGTTTTACCATAAAATACTCGAATAAAGGCTTCATCTGAGATAGTTTTTGTCCATTTTTTTTATTCCAATTTCAATAAATCTTTGTGCTAATAACAACAATTATATAAAACAGTACGAAAACTATCACAAACGAAACCTAAATTTATCTTGAGCTCGAGTAGAGCTCTGACAAATATCAGCGAATATTAAAATAACCCTCAAATTATTGGAGAAATCAAATAAATCAATTATTTATTTATTTCCATTTTTTTAATGTATTAAATTGAATTCATTACAGGTTTTAATTCACTTTCCTTTTGATTTCTTTTCATTTAATCTATTTTTAAATTGGCATTTATTACAAATATTAAATCACTTTCCTTTTGATTTTTTTTTTTAATTTAGTATATGTATTAAATTAACATTTATGGTGGGTGCGAATTAATTTTTTTCTTTTTCTTCACTATTTTGTACATATAAATATTGCACAAAATTTGTAATATAAATAATGCAAAGGCCTTTCCCCATGAAAGGACCTCATTTGTAAGCAACACTAGTGGAATCATTTTAACTGAGTCAGGCCCTATATTTTTTTCTTTTTCATGATTTTTCACGTAAAAAATATGATGTCTCTTATGACTCTCACACCGCTCTCTCTTATCTGTATGTGTGCTAAATCTTCGTACAAAATTTGAATGCAAAAATATATCTCTCCACCCCGCGAATATTTCAGTCTGCAGTAGTAACCATTATATATGAGGCAATTTTTGATGAAATATGTAACACAAGGAGTAAAGATTGATGTCAAAGGTGATCTGACACAAATTAATTAAATTTATATCATAATTCTAAAATTGGCGGTAATTAATTAAATCTATTTCATCAAGCAAACTAAGAGTTGACACTAATCTTGATGCAAAACAATTGTGTAGGAGTAAGGACTATCATTCAATTCAACCACAATTGCATAAGGATTATTAGAGTTTAAATCTTAACATCTTCATTCGGCCAATCAAAAATATTCTAATATTTCTTTAAAGGTCCATATCAATAATCAGCCATCATATTTTGTTCATTTTCCTTTCATCATTTTTTTCTCTTTGAATCAATAAACAATCCATGATCAAATCGATCAATATCGGCTATCCATTCAAACCACTCCCATTTTCACCTTGTTCTTCCCCATATTTACAAGTTATGCCACTCTCAAAAACCTATAAATAGGCCCCCATTCTTCACATGAAAGGGAAGAGAAGAAAAGGGGACAAGAAATAGAGAAGAATGAGAGAGCTTAAGGAGCTATCTTGTCGCCAACCACCGCCGGAGTTCGTCCCGACTTTCATCCGTTCGTCGACCACCGCCAGAGTTCCTCCCAACCTCCGTCTGTTTGTCGGCCATGCCAGAGTTTCTCCCAACTTCCGTCTGCTCCTCGATAGCCGCCAGAGTTCCTCCCGACTTTGATCCGTTCATCGAAATCCTCCGGAGTTCCTCCCGACTTCGGTCTGTTCGTCGTCCGCCTCCAAAGTTCCTCCCGACTTTCGTCCGTTTGTCAACCATCGCCAAAGTTTCTTTCCAACCGCCGCTGGGCTTTTGCCCATTCGTCGATCACTTTCTAAATTCTTTCCGACTTTTGCCCATATATACTAAATTAACCGATTGAATGAACAGAAACATATATACTAAATTAAGAAATGAAAAAAAAAATCATTGAATACGGAACCAGTTAAAAAACATAAGAAAAACAAAGAAATGCAAAACGCTGAAAAACCAATTAAAAAACAAAGAAAAACAAAGAAATGAAAAAAAAAAAAAACATATATATTCCTTAAACCACCGCCGGAGGGAGAAGAGTGTCTGGAGAAAGTGAAAAGTTACCTTGAAGTGATGCGTTGATGGTTTTGGCGAGATTAATTTGGAAAACTCGTTGATTTTGGCGCGTGGGAGATGAGCGGGAGGTGCGGAAATGGAGGGAACTAAAAATCGTGAAAGAGAAATGGAGATGGAGGAGGACAGGTCGTTGAAGAGGGACGTGAGGCGGACGTGCGAACGTGAGGGTAAAATCGGTTTCTTCCTTGTGAAAATTCAGGTATGGGACGTGAGAAGCAGCAAATGTTTACTTTTGAGATCGGCATTATTACGGAGAAATCCGAAAAGGAATTTTACATAATTTGTGTTAACAAACATGCGCATTTGCGAATTGGCGCCGATATAAAACGGAAACGGCTTAAAAGAGGAGAAACAAAAGAGGCCTATATGATGTACCTACGGGACAGGATAACTTGGAGAGATGATGATTTGACCAACTTGACTGTCAAATAGTGCGTGGTTTGGACGGCTAAGGAATGGGTTGGATTATAGACAAATTTTATAAATAAATAAATATATAAATTTTGTTCGTAATATAGAAAAGAAAAATAATAATAATAACAATGCTTGTCATTTGCAGATAACGACTACTTTGTCACATCAGCATTTAAAAAAAAAATTAAAAATTTTTATGAATATTTTCTTTAATAATGACAAAGTAATCGTTGTCTCCAAAGGACAAACAGTCAGGTTGGTCAAATATCATTTCTCCAAATTACACTGTCCCGTACGTAAATCATATACTTAACCGAAGCCCGCAACCAACCCCCGGCGCAGCCATCCCGAAAATGCAACATCACATCACTCTTCCACCTTACTATAAACCAAACCCCTAATCCCCTGATTTTCTCAGCTAGGGATCGGACGCCTGAGTTCTCGATCTCTAAGCTGTTATCGTTCAAAAACCTTAATTTAATCTCCACCTCATGGCAATAGGCACTCTATCTCACACCTCTCCCGTCGCCGCCAGCGGCTCCGCCGCTGGCAGCAGGAAAGTCGTCCCAAACGAAGACTAAATGAGCTCAAGTAAATCACTTAACATTTAGTTATAGATTTATAACATTAATTAAAGAAAGAAATTAACTAAAACATCTCAATAAGAGGAATCTAACCAACCTAATATTATTCAATAAAATACTTATTGATAAATGAACAAGCTTGAAAAGTTTAGTGTTTGATTTGTTTATGATTATAAACAATATCATTTAAAGCATTTGAATAAGTTGATTAATACTTCGTTTGGGACGGTTTTCTTACAATTTTTTGAAGCGGCTTTGAATACAAAAATTATTTTTTTTTTCTAAAAAATTATTTTAAGAAGGGACAGAAAGTTGTCCCAAATGAAACTTAAGAAGCTCAATCAAAGCACGATTATATACTTATTTAAGACTCGATTATAAATTTCTTTAATATGTGCTTATGTGATAGTTTTATTTTACTTTTTTTTTTCCTTATTGGATTATTTTATTCATGAACATAAACTACTTGTTTATGCTTGTGAAAATATTCATTTATTTTATATCTCATTGAATTTAAACCTTGTTTTATAAATTGTTTTATCATAAAATACTTGAATAAAGGCTTCATATGAGATAGTTTTTGTCCATTTTTTTATTCCAATTTCAATAAATTTTTGTGCTAATAACAACTATTATATAAAACAGTACGAAAACTATCACAAACGAAACCTAAATTTATCTTGAGCTCGAGTAGAGCTCTGACAAATATGCTCAAGCTCAAGTAAACTCCTGCTCCGTTCATTTGCACCTGTACATGGGTGTATACCAATTTGAATGCCCTAAACCCTAAATGGGAAGTCTCACTTAGAAAAATTTGACCCAAAATCTGATGAAGGAGTGTTCTTAGGATATTCTAGTGTTGGGAAGTCTTTTAGGGTATTTAATAAGAGGACTTTGGTGGTGGAGAAAACTACTCATGTAGTGTTTGATGAGTCTGATCCTAGAAAGCCTAGAGTTGAGGATAATGATGAAGTTGGAGAGATTTCCCACACATGATATTATTGTTATATCAAATTTGTATTTTGTGTAGCACTTTTATTAATATTAACTATAAAATTATATAGTTCATATACAAAGCAGTCATTTTCCCTAGTGTTTAGACGGAACAAGGCTTTTCCAATAAACTTTTTAGAGAAATTTACATACATACCATTTTGTAACATCCTATTTACATATTTAACACTCAAAACTTTAATATTACATTCATACCACCATATACTATTTTAATATCAAATATGACACTCATATTTCCTTCCTACCAACGCTCATATTTCCATCCTATCACTCATATATTTCATTTATACCACTCATATTTGATATAAAAATAAACTATGAGTGGTATATATGTAATATTAAAGTTTTAGATGTTAAATATGTAAATATAATAGTATAGAGCGGTATGTATGTAAATCTCCCAAGTTTTTATCATTTAGTTTCTTTGTTGCCTTTGAGGCTCAGAAGTTAGAATAATTTCAGGGAATTCAGGCAAAGCAATATGAGTAATATTTTTTATGTAAATTTTAGTCGGCACTCATTTGAAGATAAATTGAGAAGAGCTTTGCAGTGAATATTAAAATAACCCTCAAATTATTGGAGAAATCAAATAAATCAATTATTTATTTATTTCCATTTTTTTTTATTTTGTATTAAATTGATATTCATTACAGGTTTTAATTCACTTTCCTTTGGATTTCTTTTCATTTAATCTATTTTTAAATTGGCATTTATTACAAATATTAAATCACTTTCCTTTTGATTTTTTTTTATTTAGTATATGTATTAAATTAACATTTATGGTGGGTGCTAATTAATTTTTTCTTTTTCTTCACTATTTTGTTCATATAAATATTGGACAAAATTTGTAATATAAATAATGCAAAGGCCTTTCCCATGAAAGGAGCTCATTTGTAAATAACACTAGTGGAATCATTTTAACTGAGTTAGGCCCTACATTTTTTTTTAGTTTTCATGATTTTTTACATAAAAAACATGGGGTCTCTTATAACTCTCACACCGCTCTCTCTTATCTGTATGTGTTTTAATTCTTCGTACAAAATTTGAACGCAAAAGTATATATCTCTTCACCGCCGCGAATATTTCAGTCTGCAGTAGTAACCATTATATATGAGGCAATTCTTGATGAAATATGTAACAAAAGGAGTAAAGATTGATGCCAAAGATGATCTGACACAAATTAATTAAATTTATATCATAATTCATAAATTAGCGGTAATTAAATCTATTTCATCAAGCAAACTAAGAGTTGACACTAATCTTGATGCAAAAAAATTGTGTAGGAGTAATTAAGGACTATCATTCAATTCAACCCCAATTGCATAAGGATTATTAGAGTATAAATCTTAACATCTTCATTCGGCCAATAAAAAATATTCTAATACTTATTTAAAGGTCCATATCAATAATCAGCCATCTCATTTTGTTCATTTTCCTTTCATCATTTTTTTTTTCTCTTTGAATCTATTGAAAATATACTGAAACATTTATATCACTGAATATCTTACTTAGATTATTTTTTCAAACTTTGGTGAAGACTTTAAAGGAGAATGATATTTCTCAAATCTATTAATTAATTTATGTTTTTAATGGTCTATTTTGAAAGTTTTGACTAACAATTTTTTAAGCAAAGAAGAAGGGAGCTGGGATTTGTGGCTGGTGAAGATTTTATAAGATAATGATATTTCTCAAATCTAATATTTTCTTGTAAGCATCAAATTTCTAGTTTAGGTGGCACTTATTTTTGTTATATTTTGTAAAAATAAATAATTAAAAATTACATAACCCCTACTTGATATAAACTTTTTAATATTTAATTTTTAAAATTATTTTATATTTCAACTTTTGCTTTCTTTTTAAGTTATTATATTTTTTTATTGCTTTCAAAAAATTTCTATGATGCATAATTATTTTACACAATCTGGTATACTAAAATATGAAAATTTTTTAAAAAATCATTATATAATCCATTAAAAAAATACTTATAATAACTATAAAAAAGTAATAAAAAATAATAATAATAAAATAATTTTAAAAATAAAGTATTAAAAAATTGGGCTCAAATAACCCCTTAATATTATTTATGTTATTTTTAATTATTTATTATAACAAAATATCACCAAAGTAGATGCCATCAAGAAATGAAATTTGATGCTTACAAGAAAAAAAAAAAAAGATTTGAGAAATATCATTATCTTGTGAAATCTTCACCTACTACCAATGCCACCTCTCTTCTTCTTTACCTCAAAAATAGTCAGTCAACTCACCAAACTTTGAAAATAGACCATTAAGAACATAAATAAAATAATTAAGAGTCGTAGGAAATATCATTCTCACCTAAAATCTTCACCAAACACCAATGCCAGCCTCCTTTGCCACAAAGATATATAGTCTAAAGTAAATTCACCAAACTTTGAAAAATAATCTAAGTAAAATATTCAGCGATACAAATGTTTTTTTTTTTTTTTTTCAAGTCAGTAGAAAACTAACAATGAGTTGCTCTACTATCGTTCAAAGAGAGATTATTATGTGCGGAATCCGAACGAGGAAAACTATTTAATAGTGGTGAATAATAACTGTGTTTTTACTATTCACAGTCACAAAAGCGAACAGTTCTCTGCGTCTGGACTCCGCACGTAATAATCTCTCCGACTCTCTCCCAAGTTCAAGTTCAAATACAATCAAACTTCACACAGAAATCCCCGATGAGTCATCGTTTTGTTCAATGAAATAGCATTAATGCCTATTATTATTATTATTATTGAAAGAAATCTACAGACTCCTGTCGAGGCCAAGGTCACGCCAAACGTCCCCTTCCACTAGCAAGTTTTCCTGACCTGCGGGATATAAAGAACATGAAAAAAATAATATAATTCATGCTTACAAAAATATTAAAAAAAAGTATTTTTTACTTGGATATAATAAAGAAAAAAATAAAGATAAAAAAAAAAGACTGCGTTATCTAAGTCACTTGTATATGACGAATGCAGCAAGGTTGATTAGGTTGATCTTGCATGCACCATGGCTAAGGGCATCTTCAACCGAAAAACTCATTTTTCACTCTAAAATGCACTAAAACTTTAAAACGCAGTCATTCTTCTCCAATCGAACACCATTTTTTTTAGTGCGTTTCTTACGAAGGTAATCATCTTTGGCGCGCTTTTCTCCTTTTTCGCGCACTTCTTCGTCAGATCGCACAACCAATTTTTTTTGGAGTAGGTGAACAGTCCGACGTCAATATTAGCGTTACACTGTTCACATACCGGAATTTGACATGGGATTTGGAGTTCGAATGGAACAAATAGCGGACGACATACGGTGACATGGAGTTCGGTTGGAGATGGTTTAACATGCTTCACCTTGACATTGAATTTTTCTTTTTGTTCCATGATTGCCATTTTAGTGAGCTCATGAAAATGGCTGTTGCGCTGAAAACTTACAGCCATTGCCAGCAAAATCAAGTTGATAGCATAATTGAGTTTAGTTCTTGGGTTTGCTGTGGACTTAAGAATAGCAGAGTTGAATTTAGTTCATGGGTTTGTTGTGGACTTAAAAATAGAGAGAGGGAGGTAGATCGAGAAAACTATTGAGACATGATGTAAAAAGAAAGATTCAGGAGAGAAAGAGAGAGAGAGAGAGAGAGAGAGAGAGAGAGAGAGGTGAAAATAGGATGATGAGAAAAGAGAGAGAGAGAGGTGAAAATAGGATGATGAGAAAAGAAGGTTCAATATTTCATCGATAAGGGCTCATAAATAAATGCTGAAGTACTCATGCCTACCTAAATATTTCATCGATCATTCAATAAGTGACTATCTAACACAACTCTTCATTTTTCTCATCAAAGACTTGAAATTTGACAATGACAGTGTTACAGAGAAAAAATTTTATCATGAAAGGAGGTTGTTGCATGATACATGTAATAGATGATAGAAGGAACATTCAAAGATTAATAACTATGACTACGAGAGCTTATCTATTTATGTTAAGCTATGTGGGTTGAGTAGGAATATTAGAATATTAAACACTAAACGTAGGTTGCCTATTTGGTGCTACCTTGGACTTGAGAACAATACCAAACAGCTTAAAGCAACTCCAGCACGACAAAAAGGCATGCTTGAGCAAATGGCGTTAGCAACATTATATCTAGAAACGAGATATACTAATACATTACCTACAGTAACAGTGTAAGAAGTACAACTACTAAACAAAAGATTCTATTGTATAAGAAGACAGCAAGGAAAGATAGGATCAATTGTTGGATATCAATAATTCTCAATGAAATTTTCAAATCTTATGCGTTAACCAAAAAAAATTGAATCAAGAGAATACAACAAAATTCCATCCCCTTGCACTCCGTTCGGCTGATTTGCCTCTCATATAGGTTTTGTATCCATAACATGCTTAAATACTATAAGTAACATGCTATGTATTCTTCAGCATATCTAACTAAAGTACGAAGTAGTAAACAAAAGGAGCCTGTTCATAATATTACATTAAAATTGCCAACAAAAATTACCTTCAGGTGAACTACTGAGCTCTTTATCACAATTGGTGCATGGAACAACTTAGTTTTTCAGATTATTCTCGATTTGATGCAAGTGGTAGTCAATATGTTAAGCTCTCATGTAGCCATCCACCCATCAAACGGGGGACTGAGGTTTATCAAAATATTGGATTTAGTATCACATAAGGTAATTCAAAATAAATTGGTGCATATATCTGTGCATACATCCTAGCAACTGACTCTCACTTTTCATCATATGCGTCCTATGTTAAAAATGGGTTTGGCCGCTTAAATATCAATCCCAGTTTGATCATTTTAGATCCACACTTTCTACTAATGAAGTGAAAGCCAAATACTATGACTTTAAAAGATTAAAATTCTAAATATGATAAAATAAGAGTCAATAGTCAGAGAGGATAGTAGGAAATTGCTAACGCAACACGAAAGACAAGTAAAACATTTTGGGTTGAAATTTTAGAAGATGAATTGGTTAGAACCGAAATAAATAGGAACCAGTTGTTTTGCCAAAAAAATTAGAAGAATGTCAAATTGAGCTTTCGTGGGGTTTTTTTTTTCCTTTTTTGAGCAAATCGGACCTACGCAGTGTGAATTTTTTTTTTTTCATAACTTTTAACAGTTTGTCATTGGAACCCTGCAAGGAGATATTGGAGAGGTCGGATTGCAGGACAACCGTTGGGAAGGGTATTTAGGGTTATATAACCCCCTTTCAACCATTAAATTTCATCTTTCTTTTGCTCTCATTTTGTTTCACAAATCATCTTCCAAAATTAGGCTATGGTAATTTTGTTTGTTTGATTCAATTGTCGGATTTAATCCGGTGTGAGATAGAGAAACTTTCTTCATGATGATTTACGGTCCGATCTAAGCATGAAGGTTAATTATGTATTATTTTGTGTATTTTAATTGTTTCTATTCTATGTAGTTTGCAAAATTTTCTCCAATAATTTGGTAGAGTTGTTATATTCATAGAAATATTTAAAAAAATTGTTGAGTAGCCTTTTTGTAAATTTAGTGTAATACATGTATTCTTTGAAGTGTACAAAGCCAGCAAATTTAAAAGAGAATTGACTTGAAACAGATTTAGAATCACCCTATACTATTTTCCTTATCTACAGATTTGTAAACCTTCATCTCTTCTTCCATCTCCTTAGTTTCATCCTTGTTGTCATCAAATCTATTGCATTAAAACTAAAAGCTATTGCAACTATATTTCATTTAACATTCTTCTTAGCGAGCATCATTTTTTCCTCCAAATCATGATGCGCTTTCTACATCACCCCTCGTCAAATCTTCATTACCAAGCGACATTTTATCTTCGGCATTTGAGTACTACCACCCATCTGTTCAATCAACTACTCATTACCATCATTAATGTCGTTGTAACAAAGTGGATCAATACAATTCTACATCGCTTTTTCCTCTAAATCATGATATTCTTTCTATACAATCCCATGTCAAATATTCATCATCAAATGGCATTTTATATTCATCATTTGAGTATTAACACCCATTTATTCAATCAACCATGCATTCCATCATTGACGTCCCAGTGACTTATTGGATCAATAAAATTGCGAAAAGTGCCCTACTTCTGAACTAGATCCATCTTTGATAATTTCCTTTTAAATTTGTTTCTTATATTATGCAGGGAAAACTAATTCCTAGAAATGAAAGTTGGAACAGTAAATCTTAAACTAATGAAGTAGATCTCCGCTTATCCTTCTTGATTAGCGATGATTTCTTCGTAAACATCAAGTAGATGATGAATGCCCTATCGTGAATTGATAAGAGGTGGGGAACTAATGATGATGAAGAGGAGAGAAGCCAAGTGTCATGGTTCTAATATAAGGATGAAGATTGATATTGTTAAATGGAGGTGTGGTTTCATGAGTCATTCCCTTCTCACCTTCTCTCCTTACATGTGAAGTGAGTGGCAGTATGAGGATTGACAAGGCTTTGGAATGATTTAATAGAGGTAGCAATTGGGGGCAAGGCTCATAGAATGGTGGTTAATGGACAGGAAAATCTAAATTCCTTAAAAAAATAGAATTGAAAAAATGATCCATGTTATAAACCTTATTCTCCATCTCCTCAATGCTTATAACTATTTTTCCCTTGTTGTAAATATTATCCTTTATATTATGAAGCTTCTTTCATTGTTTTAAGACAAAGACTACTCTTTGTTGTTGATATATCATAAAAATATTGTCTTGATCGAGCACGAATCTCAAGGCAAATTCGCAATGAAAACTTTTAAATTTAAATTCAAGACCATTTGAACTCCGATTTCAGCAAATTTATAGCCAAACTGAACGTTTCCAAAAAACGAACTTAACGACACCAAATTTGACTAAATATGAGACCAAATGGGTTCAAATCCAGGATACAAAGCACATTTGAGAGGTTCAAATCATAAATTGGCAATCAAATGATTTTCAAAAGTGACATGCTTATAGTCGAATTGAGCGGCTCGACGAGATGAATCCAACGAGCTCAAGATTGTCGAATTCTGACACCATTAAGGCGCTTAAATATTCAATAAACAGTCCACAATCAAAGGAGTCGATATCAGTTGCCCATTCGAAACACTCCCAACATACCCTTGATCTTCTTCCTATTTATTGGTCATGTCACTCCAAAAAAATTATAAATACACATCTCATTTTCTTCATTAATGGAAGAGGAAGCAAGGAAGAGAGGAAAGGAAAAGAAATATGTGTTTTCTTGCCACCAGACTCCTCGACCACCGCCAGACCATCGACCGTCGTCAAACTTTCGCTGAATTTCTACCCGGCCACCAACTGTCTTCTGACTTCCGTCCGACCACCAGCTATCACCGGACTTCCGCCCAACCACTAGTTGTTGCTGGACTTCCACCAACTGATGCCGGATTTACGCCCAGCCACCGACCGTAGCAAGAGTTCTACCCGGCCACTAGTCGTCATCGAACTTCTACCCGGTCACCAACCCCACCCAACTACGGTGTTTCCGACCTTCATCGTCTGCCGACGATGGTCCTTTTGACCACCTTCACCCGATGACGGTCTTTCCGATCTCAGCCGCCAAACTACGGTCCTTCCGACCACCGTTGCCCGCCTACTACGGCCTTTCAGACCTCCGTCGCTCGACTATAGTCCTACCGACCAAATGAACATGTCAACACTGGTTCTTCAACTCCCACCATGTAATGCACTCTTAATGATATATATTTGCTACATCGAGCTAAGATCTTCTCCCTAAGGAAGGGCCTCATTTGTAATCAACTGCAAATACTAATGGATTCATTTAAACTAGACATTTTTCCCTTTTCAGGAGTTTTCATGTAAAAACTCGGATGTCTCTTATAAACACTACACCCCTCTCTCTTATATGATTGTTTACTAGATTTTTCGTACAAAGCTAGGACATTAAACTTTATATTTCCATACCGCCACGAATGTTCTAATCTGCAACAGTTGTAAAGGTATTTTACTCATGGAGCTCTCTCAAGTAAATGCAGGGGTGTATGAACAAGCAATTGATGACACGAGTCAGACCAAAGCATGTGAGAAATTGAGCTTGAGAGTTGAAACTCAATAACTCATGTTCCATGACGTTTCACTTGAATTATGTTGAAACCACCCAAATTCAAAAAATTAACTGGTTTAGGTTTGGTCTCGCTTGAAACTAACCTGAAAAGATCAAAATGAAATGATGTAAGGGCTCACTTGTTGCTTTTGTTGCTTGACGTTAGAAAATACATTTTGAAAAACGATGAATGCGTTAGATTTGTTTGTTGAGCTGGGTTTATTTTGAAATGAAAATAGATTTAAAACCCTACAAACAATTTCAAAATCTTAGAACAGTAAATATTTCAATTTCACACTCATGATCATAAAATTTTAAAATATGTTGCTCATCTACAAACAACAAACGAAGGCAGTAGCCCAAACCAAAAATATTTCTTTCATCAAAATGGTATAAACAAACTTATCTGAATAGATGCGCTCAAGTTACCGAGTCCTATCCAATGATAGGACAGTATGATCATGAATTCATGATCATACTAGGGGCTGTTTGGTACCAGGATTTAGGCAGGATTTGAGGCGAATTTGAGCGAAATCCAGCCAAACGGCCTAAAATGCAAAACCAAATCTCACGGCAAGTGAAATCCGGGATAGACGGAAAATTCCGCCGATTCGAGCTAAATCCGGGATTTCGGAAATCCTATATTTTGCGGGATTTAGGAAATCCAGGCGCTAGAGTAAGAGTCCCTCGATAAATCCTGCTTTATAGCCAAACAATCACATAGGATTTAACTGGATTTATCATAAATGTTACCAAACAGTTTTCAGGATTTAACCCCTCAGGATTTCGTAAATCCGGGATTTGGAGGATTTACGAAATCCTACTTAAATGAAATCCTACATTCTACCAAACAGCCCCTTAAAACTCAACATCCTTTAAACTTCATCAAATTTCCCATTCTACCTTCAATATCAGATAAGATAGTTCTTCGAATCACGGTAAACAATTATCCTATAACCAGTCATTAAAGGGAATAGATTAAAAAAAAAAAACATCTATATCTATAACAAATTTTGGTATGGCATAAGAAATAAAATAGTATGCCTCAAACATGAAAATATCCATCAAGAAATTCATTTGAGAAGGAAAATACCTGTTGAATCCCCAGCATCGTCAATTCGAGGGGCCATTCCAGACGGGAGAGGAACATCTGCTCCAGGGAAACAGTTAGCACTGATTAGATCCCCAAATAGGATGGCGAGGAGAAAGAGGGACGGAATTAGGGTTTTGAGAGGGAAAAAGATACCATCTTTGGGGAGGGTCTCCCTCATCCATTCATCGTCCACGATATCGATTAGGATGCCCGGACTCAAAAGCTCTGCTGCATCCGCCATTGCGTTTGAAATCTATCCCTATTGGTCTGCCGAAGCCGCAGAGAGATATATTTATAGAACGGCGTAACTCGGCGTATGTGAGAGTACGCTCAGTTGTTATTTAAAATTGTCGTTAATAATTTAAATTTAAATTAAGCCCAAACAGAAAAATCTAAAAATATTTTCACTATTTCTGTATGATAAATTTAATCTCAGAATATCATATTACCTCAATTTAACTCCTCAATTATATAAAATTGATTCAAAAATTATCCCTTATATTATAATTGTAATATAAAATTAATTTCAATTTAGTGTCATAATTTTACAAAATTGAACCAATTTACTCTCAAATGAATCATTTTTGGATCAATTTTATATAATAGGGAGATTAAATTAAAATAACATTATATTATGAGTATAAATGTCAAAATGGGTTGACAGATCGGACTTAGGCCTGATCTAAAATTAACCCAACTTGAATAAGACATTTTTAATAAATGAGTCAAAAATTTCAACCAAAATCTAACTCATTAATCCTTTTTGGTCAAAAAAATATATTTTTTGACTTAAATAATTTTTTTATAACTTATGAACTATAAATTTATGATATTTAATAAAACATTTTCTGCTTTTTCTCCATTCTTTCTCTTTAATTTATGATCGAGATCTATGTTAATCTAAGCATCTGCTCTTTGTTCATATAGGCATTCAACTATTCAATCTTTGGAAAAATTATTCTGTGCGGTCGCCGAACACCGTTCAAAGACCAATCAGAATGCACCATGTCACTCCTTCCCTAGGTACCGCTGATGTGACTGCACTTGATTCACCTCCGGTTAAACCTAAAAACACTTGATTAAAAAGTATTAGAAACAATCTTTGTTTATTAAAATTAAATGAGAATTCGACTCTTAAGAGAAAATCAAGGAGAAAAATGATTCATATAGCTGACCTCATGTAGTGGGAGAAATGTTTAATTTTGTTGTTGTTGTTGTTGTTGTAATATTGCTGAAAAAAGACAATGGTTTAAGGTATCAATAATATTATAATAATATTGTATGTAGAAGTATCAAGTTAGTTTACATTTTCATCTGAAAAAAATATTTTTAAGTTAAATTTTCCTATCTTTCCTCTTTTCTTGAATGCAAGCTCCTTAATCATTACTCTTTATAACATTCCCGTTGAACATGACCTGAGGTAGATTATGTGATACTTTTCAACATTTGAATCTAAATTTTTTTGTTGGGTTATTTATTAATACTCCTAACAATGAGACTAAAATGATCATATACAAATAATCAGGAAACTATTTTGAAATTTAACCTATTAAATATATATATTTCTTCTCAAGATTTCTAAAAATATATGCATTTATATTATTAAGATTTTAGATTATGATGCTTTAGTAGGGTGGAGGCGCTCCTACGTTGAGCTATGGAGGCTATGTTCGCTTACACTTTTGGCTAAGGATGCATGCTGTTCCATTGCCATGGATTGGAATCCTTTTTATCCTCTTTACGGTTCACAAACATTTCCTGCTCTTTCTCCATTCTTTCTCTTTAATTTATGATCGAGATCTATGTTAATCTAAGCATCTGCTCTTTAATCATATAGGCATTCAACTATTCAATCTTTGGAAAAATTATTCAGTGCGGTCGCCGAACACCGTCCGAAGACCAATCAGAATGCACCATGCCACTCCTTTCCTAGGTACCACAGAGCAGTACCGCTGATGTGACTGCCTTGATTCACGTCCGATTAAACCTAAAAATACTTGATTAAAAAGTATTAGAAACGGTCTTTGTTTATTAAATTTAAATGAGAATTCGACTCTTAAGAGAAAATCAAGGAGAAAAATGATTCATATAGCTGACCTCATGTAGTGGGAGAAATGCTTAATTTTGTTGTTGTTGTTGTTGTTGTAATATTGCTGAAAAAAGACAATGGTTTAAGGTATCAATAATATTATAATAATATTGTATGTAGAAGTATCAAGTTAGTTTACATTTTCATCTGAAAAAAATATTTTTAAGTTAAATTTTCCTATCTTTCCTCTTTTCTTGAATGCAAGCTCCTTAATCATTACTCTTTATAACATTCCCGTTGAACATGACCTGAGGTAGATTATGTGATACTTTTCAACAGGAGAGAGATGGGTGTGAACTTACCCTAAGGTATCGAAACTACAAAGAAATTATAGAAGAAAAATAGACGAAAACATCATTGCTTGAGTTCTACAATAACGCTTAGAAAGAATCTGAATCTTCTTAGCTAATTATCCTCTCATTGTAAGGATTCTCAAAGAAAGGTCCTTTGCTCCTGCTTTTTAAAAATCTCCTTATCTAATATATTTGAACCTGAGAGATTTCAACAAGCACAAAATTAATGAGGTTTGAAGCTATGAATCCAATTTATGTTTAATGGAAGTGCTCAGATTATCTGCACAGGGACTTCAATGGATTTCAACAAGCACAGAATTTTCATGAACCTTATATTCCCTTCAATCAATATTCATGAACTTCATGTTCCCTTCATGAAGAATTTTGTATTAAAATAAAGCCTCGTACACCCAGCTTCGGCTTTGCAGATCTCTTCATTCCATCAATTTTGACCCTGTCTTTATCTAGGAAGATTCAGATTTCGTTTGTACAAAGTAAAAGGTTACAATTTTACATCAACTAGGGAACTATTTGGGACAACTTTTTTGTTGTTTTGTTTTTTAGATAACAACCACAAATTCGTCTCTCTACTGTTTTCTCATTGCTTTTCAGAAAATTTTAAAGTGGAAAACTGTTATGTGTGGAATCTAATTGTGTTAATCAATTTGATTCTTATATTGTCTCGAACCTTAATGCTTGTCGTGTTCGCTAGAGAGTGCGGAGGGTTTACCCCCTGCTTGGATTTGGGTGCTTTGCATTGGTAATTTTTTTCCCGTACAACACCGTGGCGCTGTGTTCCCGAGCGCTCCAGCACTGAACAACAGAGAGAAGTGCGTCGCAACGGTATAGATACGGAGCTGCAACAGTGCAAGATAGAGGCTTGAGCGATGTAGCGCCATTGCGTTGCGAGATGAACTGGATGGTTTCGTTCTTGTTTTTCTAAGGGGTTGTGCCCGTTAGGGTTATTTTATTCGGCTTTCTCTTATATTCTGTTTGTAGACATTGAGAACAGTGCATGTGAGGAGAAACAAGGAGAGAGCGAGAGAGAAGAGATATTTATACATATTTCTCCTAATTTTCATAGTGGATTCTTGGTGCGGTGTGGCTCTGTGGTTTTACAATTTTACATCGACTAGGAAACTATTTGGGACAACTTTCTGGTTGCTTTGTTTTTCATATAACAACCACAATTTTCTCTCTATTGTTTTCTCATTGCTTTTTAGAAATTTTTACGGTGGAAAACTGCTAATGTGTGGAATTTGATTGTGTTAATCAATATGGTTGTTCTGTCATCTTGAACCTTAATGATTGTTGTGTTCGCTGGGCGTGCAGGGGGTTTACCTCATGCTTGGGTTCGGGTGCTTTACACTCATAAATTTTTTTTCGTTCAATGCCCCGGCATTGTGTTCCCAAGCGCCCCAACACTAAACAACAGAGAGAAGAGCGTCGTAGCAGTATAGATATGGAGTTGTAGTAGTGCAAGACAAAGGCTTGAGCGCCGCTGCGCTGCAAGACGGACTGGATGGTTTTTCTCGTTTTTTTGAAGAGTTGCATTCCTTAGGGTTATTTTACTTGACTTTCTCTTTTATTTTATGTGTAGTCATTGAGACTGGTGCATGTAAGAAGAGAAGCAAGGAGAGAGCAAGAGAGAAGAGAAATCTACACTTATTTCTCCTAATTTTCATAGTGGATTCTTGGTATGGTGTGGCTCCGTGGTTTTTTTCCTATTTTGAATTTTTTTCACGTTAAATCCTGGCATCTATTTTTTTCCGTTGCTTTTACTTAATTGCTTGTTTTGTCATTGTGGTGTTTACTTCTCATATCTCCCCAACAACTTTATGACCAACTTTATAAGATACTGCATTTATTCCAACAGAACTTAAGTTTCATCTGAGACCACTTAGCATGAAAACTACAGAGAAACCTAGAGTTTGAATGAAAGGGCTGCCACTATCCACACACTCATGCATGAATTATTGCGAGGTTGAAAATATAAAATTTATAAGAAAATTAAGGGAGAAGCCAAGGAATTCACGAGCTTCATTACTGGAATGCTTGGTGTACAAGATACTTAACTGTCAATCCAGTTTATAGAAGTTCCTTACGAGTCTTTAGAGAGAGCAGGGATTTAACACTAATACTGAGCCCCATTTCTAGTTATTTTGACTTATCATACCCTAATGATTTCTCTTTAGAGATTTTACCTATACGTGCAATAGTCCAAACATAACAATTGCAATATGCCTTAACATTCAAAGATCTAGTTAAAGACTTATCCAGAATTTTTTGGTGAATTGTTGTTTAGCTTATTTTTTAATTCAGACCTTTAATAAAAGTATAAAACAGATAATAATAATAAAATAATCTCGATGCGAATGATTTTTTAACCTCAAGACTTATAAACATATCATAATATTCATACATATCATATTCATCTTGCCCATCTTAATATTTTTAAGGGAAAAAATGTTCATCTTACTTATATTGTTTAAACTGTTCATGCAGTAGATCTCTATGCTCACCAAATTTTTTAAGTTTATATTTAAGGTGAGCTCATACATGTTTTAATTAGGGCTATCAAAATCGGATCATAGGTCGGGTTTGAGTCCAACCCAGAACTAACTCAACACAAGTTGACCTAACCTGTTTGCGGAATGGATTGACCCTAACCCAATTTTTTTGGATTGGATTCGGGTTCGATTTTCAGTCATGTTAAATATTGACACCCATAGTTTTAATGCACTTATAATACCTTCAAAATAATGAAGTATGACCCGCTAGCTTGAATTTAGCATATTCAAATATTTCAAAATTAGATAGCAATATTCAAAGAAGTAATCCACATTATCAATCAATACTAAAAATTTCTCAAGTTTACAGCTTTCATACATAATAATGTAATTGAGACCATTATTAGGCTGACAAGCGGAATTGGACAAAATTATGAAGGAATATACAATTGTTGGTTTGTGAAGTATTTCTTATAAGCACTTCATCACAGATATCTGGACTGAGTTAAAGGACACAGTTTTACTTTTGATTCCATTAACACATTACAAAGCAAGCATGCTGCGAAGTTGAATTCATTCCACATATTTGTTACCTATTGTTGTCTACCAACCAAGCTACTCATATCCAGTTGATCAATCGCTATAGGAGCGATTAGAGAGAGTTCCTTCCATTGAAGGTTCATAGCAGTGATACCATAAGAATAACAGGCACATAATAACGAAAAAGAGATGCTTACAGTCCAAGCAGATTAGTAAGGAAACGCTTTGCGCATAATCTTCTTCTTCGATGACTCTGCCAGCCTCCTCGAAACCATGGCACTGTCATAAAGTTCCATCAAGGATTTAGCATCTTCATTCTCATGGCATTTTATAAACGCCTTGAGGAATTGCTGTTCTCTCATCCTCATGGCCGACACCACAGTTAGCTCCTTTCCACGAGGTTTCAGCCCCACCTCCTGTAATCTTCGCCAGATCAAGAATCGAGGCTTCAAACACCTATCCAGATTGACCGAGAGCAACTTAGGCTCCTCGATGACAGCCCGGACCGGGAGCTTCATGATCCCAAGAACATAGGTCATGTTTCTCTGAATCTTATCGACAGAGAGAGTAAGCGCACTGGGGTAACGAGCGAACAAATCACTCAAAACCTCATCCTCCGAGAGCCCGAACCTCTCAAAATTGGCGATCTTGCTTCGAATTGTGTCAAATCTGGAGATGGCAATGATGGAGACGGCGTACTTGTACAAGGCGGCGTGCGGCCGGAGGCCGATTCGGCGGATTAGGTCAAGCTTATCGTCGTCGAGGGAGGAGCAGGGAATGATGGTGGGCCGGGAGAAGAGCAACCGGCCAAGTACAGGGCGAGGAATGCCGATGCCCTCGTAGAGATCTGCGCAACGGAGGAGAATGGCGTCGACATCGAAAGTGAGAAGGGAGGGATTGCAGACGACGGCGCGGAGGAGGGCGCGAGGATCGGAGGGAAAAAGGGTGCGGAGGAATTCGAGGCGGCGGTCAATGTCAGAAGCGAGGGGGCGAGAGAGGAAGAGCGGGCGGCGAATGAGAATCTTGACGAGGTCGGGGCCACGGGCGCCGAGTGTGTTGAGGATCTCGAGCTTGTCGTGGACGGAGCGGATGTTTGGGAGGGGAAGAGAAGAGCAGCGGCGGAGAATTGTGGAGACCTCGGCGGGAGTGCATCCCCACTGGAGTAGAGCAGCGGCGGCAGCGGGGTCGGCAGTAGCGGTGGGGTCGTCGGCAGCCGGATCTGAGGAGATGGCGGAGGATGAGAAGGAAAAGATGGGGGATTGAGGGGATACAAAAGGAAATGAGGCGTTGGTACTGAGAATAATGGGAGGTCTGGAGCAGAAGAGCCTAGGGACGAGAGAGATTGCTGCCACTCTCATATCCCTCCGTTTCGCTTGCAAGAAGGAAAGCTACCCCTTGATTTTACTTGGATTTTATGCTACGCATTTTCCTGGTTGCATATGAAGCTTATTGGGTTTATTGGGTTGAGTTAGGGGTGCAAATAAGTGACTTAGGTCTAATTCGAGCTCGACTCACTAGTCAAAACTCGAGCTCAAAAGGCTAGTTTGAGCTCGGCAAGTGCCACTAAGAATGAGCTCTTGAGCCTTCCGCGGTCCGCCTTCCCTCTTTCGTAGTTTGCACACGTAGACGTGCAATGCACTTTGCCTTCTGCCTTTCACATTCCGCATTTAATTGATCCACTCAACAAGTAATAGAGCCGAGTATCATCTTGATCAAACTCGAGCTCGACATTTTGCTCAAGCTCAAAAAGCAATAAGCTCATCTCATGAGCTCGTTAAAGAGTCGAGTTCGAACTGGCTTGCGAGTTGGCTCGACTTACTTACACCACTAGGTTGAGTATTACATAATTCATTTGATTCGTGGTCTTAATTTTATTATTGAATTTGAATGAAATTTTCAGTAAAAATTAAAAATATTAAATGAATCTATTCAGCTATTTATTTGACATTTGCAAATAGTGATACTTCTTGTATAATTTTAAACATATAAATTATAAGAAAATAAGAAAATTAAGGCAATAACATTAATAACAGTTAATTGAATATGAATCTCATTACATGTTTGAATTAAAAGATTCTAAAATCAAATTTAGGATCATCCAAATTTCAGTTTCAATAAATTTATATTGAAATTAATCATCTTGGCGAGATGAATAAGTCAACACTAAGAATAATTTGATCCAAGTGCCAATGAGCTCAGAGCAAGAACTTGAAAAACAATTAAAAACTTTGAGATATTAATTAGAGAATCATTTTCTCGCATGTTTATAGCAAAATTAAATGTTTTGACAAGATGAATATAACGAGTCCAATATAACTAATTTTTTACATTACTAACGCATCTAAATTCTGAAAAGAATGATATACGATCAAGAAAAGTCATTCAATCTAGTGTTCCAAATTTTAGTTATATTTATGAACCATGACCCTCTCAAAACTTATAAATTGACTTCTAGCCTCTAAATGAGATGGAGCATGGCTTGAAATTTTAGAGTCTTGAGGTTTGAAAAATCGTGGAGTTCCAATGGACCACTTCCATCGAACTATCACTATCAAACCACCAAAAATGAATCATTATCGCTAGGACACCGTCATCCAACTATCGTCATCAGACCACCGCATTCCAATCACCACCATCCCAGCATGACTCTCCCACCACTTGCCCAACCATGTTCCTCTGATTACTATTCCCAAACTACAATCCTTCAACTACTGTGACTTGCATGCAGTCCTCATACCACAATTGCTCGACTATGATCTTTCAACTACAATCATCATCTACTATCCTCCAATTACCGTTGTCAAACTATGATCCTCCAACCACTATCATCTGACTATGACCCTCCAACCACCATTACCCGACTATTATTCTCCTAACATATCCACTTAAAACGGCAATTACCTAAAAAATTGTTGTCCAATAATCATCCTCCGACCATCATCTAATTATAGTATGTAGATCAAAAGTACTCAACTTCAGTTCTCTTAATAACGCTCAACTCCAATCTTTCGACCCCATCGATTGATTACGATTCTCTGAACAACTTCGTTTGATTACATAACTCTGATCACTAATATCTGACTATGGTCATTTGACCATCATCACCCAACAATGATTCTCTGACCATCTAGTCTAATTATAGTCCTTTAAACATATTCATCCAACTACAATCCTTCAATCACAGCTGCTCGATTATAGACTTCCAACCAGTAACTTAACTACAGTCCTATGACCATCGTTGCATAATTATGGTCTACTAACCATTGTAGCTTGACTATGATGCTTTAACTACCCTCGCCACAATCATTTAGCTATCATTGTCCAATTACGATTATTTAAGCACATCACCAACTGAGATCCTCTAACCACCATCATTTGCCTACAATCTCCTAACCATTATTGCCCGGCTATGATCTCATTGTCGACTAACTACGATCTCAACCACTAAAGCCTTTTACATTTTCCTAAACACTGTCGCTTGACTCTATAATTTGCATTAAATCTAGCAATGCTTTTTAAAAATCCAAAGTGACTGAAGAGCTTAAAGAAAAGTTAATGGAAACTAAGAAGCATGATATTTAATTTCTAGTGTACTTATAAAACTTGATTTGATATTAAAATTTGCCATAAGTACATTTCAACATGCATTCCTTGCTATGAAGATTATGAAGAGTCATTTGCATAATTGTGTGAGAAGCTTTTAATTAAATGGGTGTCAAATTATATATTTGGAAATAAATATTTAATAATGTTAATAATGAATTAATTGTATAACAATTTTAAATTTAAAGGCTAAAAAGGATAAACTATATATGAGAAAAATAACATTTCATGTGATATTCAACTAATCATTCAATTGATATTTTCTTCTCATCTTCTGTTTTACTCTGAACATTCTGAGAAACATTCTTTTCTTAATATAAGCAAAACAAAATGATCATTATGAAAGAATCATATATTTTATGATTTACTGCTTAATGTTAAGAAAAAAATTAAATAATTGATAAGAATATTATTATGTGTGGAGATCAGACACAGAGAACCGTCCGGTTTTGTCTCTGCTGTTTGCAGAGACAAAACCGGATGGTTCTCTGTGTTCAATTTGTGTTCGATCTCCGCATGTAATAATCTCTCCTGATGTGATAATGGCTATTTATTTATTTATCTATTTTTCATGAGAAGAAGATGCCTCTTACCTATGTGTGACTAGATGACACAAGTAGATAAGGTTGGCTTCCATCGATATCCTACAGTAGATGCGCTCAGTACAAGGCTTTTTTTAGCTCTTTTTTCACTATTTCATAACTCCCATTACTGGTTTCGCCCATAGTTTCATTGCGGTTTTGTCTCATTAGATATCCCGTGTGCTCTCCTTGAACGAGTATTAGCTAAAATGCCATCTTCCATGGCTGCCTGCTGATGTATATATAAGGTGTTTGGGAGATGTCCCATAACCTTATTCTATATTTCTCCTCGGCAGCTCAAGCAATCTGTATTTAAGCAGCAATGGGTTCTCTAATGGCAGGTTGGGATGCTCCTGTCCTCGATCCAGACACAGGTATGTTCTCTCATGGAAGTGAGAAATTATTCTATGCGGAGTTCGGATAGGAAGAACCGTCTGGACATGTGAGTGTTTGTACACAATATGTATCAACTTTTTTACAATATGTATCAACTTTTTTACACATTGTTTGTATAACAGTGTGTACAGTCACAATCCGGACGGTTCTTCCGCACAGAATAATTTCTCCAGGGCAGCACAGTAGTTTTTTCCATTTTTATTTTTTCATGAAGCCAATTTCAAAGTGTCATTTTGCAGCTAGAATTGAAAGGAACAAATCACTTACACAGGAAGAGATCAGAGCCTTTCAAAGACTTCATGAATGCTCCCAGCATGATGGAAAGCATAAAGGCTTCACAGTCCTGAAATCCTCAGACATATATGAGGTGAGTGTAAGAAAGCTTGAGAATTCCAGTTTTTTATTTCTTTTCATCTCAGAAGTGTCTCTTTGCATGTGTAGCTTTTACAGAAAGGCGAGGTTGAGGAAGGCAACAGAACTGCAGACTGGTGAGGAACTAGGCATCAATTTTCATGGTGATATTTCGTTGAAGTTTAAATTCTTAGAACTTACAGTCTGGTTGCGCTTATTCAGGTGGACAAAGAGTGACTGGGCATTTCTTAATGAGCCACCACTGGATGAAACTGAAAAGACATACAACTATGCCTCCCAGTTCCATGTTGCTGAGATAGCCACCAAAAAGGATCTGTAAATATGTTTCAAGTCCATGTATCATTCTTATAAGTCATGAGAGTTATATATGATATGCATCCTTTCTGTTGTTGTTAGTGTGAGTTTTTAATGTAATTTGAGCCAAAACTTCTTATTCAAGAATGCTATAAATTTGGATCTTGAAGAGAACTTCCATAAAACTAAGCATCATACTAATTTAAGATACAAGCAAGTCAACAATAGGATATCCTCTAATGGCAGAACAAACTACCATATGGACCAGATTGTTGCAAGTGAAGCATCAGGGTAAAATTGAGTGGAGTTCGAGCCTATCGCCACCAAGATCATGCAACATCAGCACTTGCATCTACATCGGCGAAGTTTAATATCAAGTTTTTGGGTGAAGGCAAACCAGCAACCACATCCTCTTCAATTCCACACTCATTTGCTCCCCTTAAGATCTTGAAATAACCATCCTGCACAATGGAAATATAGTCTAAACACTCAGAATAACAACAATGAATTTGAAATTCCTATTAAAATATTTTGCAGAGGATACACTATAGAGATACAGGCGGAGAAACATACATCACCCCATCCTCTATTCCATTGATTAGCAAGAAGCTGCATAAAGCAAATATATCATTAGAAGACTGAGGTATCGTTTGGGATGGCTTTCTTACCGCTTCTTAAAGTTGCTTTCTAGTACAAAAGTTTTAATTTTTTGTACTAAAAAGTTGTTTTAAGAAGCAGTAAGAAAGCCGTCCCAAACAAAACTTTAGTTGAGATCTGGTTAAACTATTCTAAAGTAAGAGTATTAAAACAAGAGAGCAGACCCAATAATCTTCCCCTTGCTCAGTAGTACCCCATCCTATTAACTTCACAGCATGTCCACCCAATTCATCACCTGTGATGTGTTTGTAGACTCCAGATTTATAGTGGGCAAAATCCTACCAATTAAAAACCAAATGGAAACATGGTGAGAATATTGTCGAGTTCATTGTAGACATCAAATACTGCAAGATGGTCATTTTCTTTGAATACAACAGTCAACTTTATATTTTTCTTTCTCCATACCTCATAGACAGTGAAGGATACTTCCACAGGACCATTTTGGTAAACCTCTGCCATTATATTATGAGGATCAGAGTTTATTCTATAAGCGTTGATACTAAAATGCTTTGCCTCCACCCAGACTTGGTTATTGGCCTTGCACTGCTTCTCACACCTGGGTGTTATATATGAAGGCTCACATCCTGGATGAGCACATCCAATCTGATCGAAGTACGGGTCACACTGCAATTCACGGCATTGTCAACTCAGTCATCCAAGAAGAACATATTAAGAAAATCTCTTTATCTGAAGGGAGAATAGATAGAAAGATGCAACAGAACACAGTTTTTAAAACAGAATGTCAAACCTGTATGAGTTAAAAAGCACACATATGTGTATATATCGAGTTGAGTTATAGTAAAATTGAACTTTTATTCGAGCGAGCCATCTTCAAGTAACAGCAAATCGATTTTGATTTCTAGATGAGTATAACTTTAAGCGAGTTGAATTTTGGTCAGCTTGATTTCCCACTTGTTTTAACTATATATAATAATATGCTTGTATCAAAAGTATTTATATTCTTCTGAAATAATAATCTCTATAACAAATTCTAATTATAAAACTAGGTCTTGTTCTTCTCTAATAACATGCAAAGCAAAGTAAAATTTGCAGATAAACATAACTGAATCTCTGTATTCACACCAGTGAAATGGTGTAAAGAGTTAAAATTGTGGTAAGACGCAAAGAACATGAACAGACTGAGAATAGAAGATGCAGAATGTATTAAACATATGCCTCTTTGCTAGACTTAGAAGACAGATATACTGCTACATAATCAGATTACTTGCACAACATTACCATTTACATAAGCAGTGCTGCTACCATTTAAGTGGCCGAGCTAGCAGCAGTCATGGAAATACCTTCTTTGCAAATACAAGAGTAAGGTGTTAGACCAGTCCAATGGACTGGTCCAGCGGTCCATACGGGACTGGCTTACAGACGAAACAGGCGTAAGTTCTGCCTCCTGCACGCGCCGAATGCATGCCTGGGTCCAAGGGAGCTGTTTAGGAAGGATTTTTTAGGGAGTTACGAGATAAATTTGAATGTAGGTACTGTTTAGAGTTTTCCTTTTGGATTGTATGCATTAAATAGTTTGTTTTCCTAGGGTTAGGGCATTTTGAATTTGGCTGAAATTTGAGATCTCTTAGGTTTCTTTTGGGCTCTACAGCGTCTAGAGATTTGGGGGAGAGATCCTCCTCTCAAATAGAGGATCAATTGTATCTTGTTATTTTTCTTCTGTTGGTTTGATTATTGCAATAAAATTACTATTTTGCTGATTTTTCCTTTAGATTTGTGGATCGTTCTTGCTGTTTTTATCAAGATAGTTAAGTTTTACTTGGGAATTCCAAGTACTTCCTAACATAAGGCTACATAAAAAAGTTGAATATTCTGAAGCTATCCATGAAATAGGTACCCAAATATGGTCCAAACTGGTCTAGTTTAGAATACCAAGAGTAAATGCACAAAAAATTCAACAGATCTAATGGATACTTATATTTACAATGGTTATAAGTGCATTGATTAAATTAGACAACATTCACAGCACAAAAAACTTTGTTAAAATGTGATTAATACAATTAAAAATTTTCTCTAGCCTTGCAGGGCTTAAAATATTCTACAAACCATCAATCTACTTCATTCCCTATCTTAGTAATCTAAAGAATAATACAAAAATATTTATTAAGCATCCAACAAAAATAAGAAGGGCATTGCTGACATTTATAGCCTCAAGCTACTAAATTAAATAACAATATATCTTTCTCCTAAACTTACTGTGCAGGGTAATTATATTCTGATACTGAAAATTAGTTCAAGGATAATCGTTGATTAACAGTTAGCCAGTAGATGCAGCTTGATAAATAGAGATAAATGCTTACCTCTTCAGTAACAACACCATTCTGAACTAAGTACTTCCAAGCAAATATAGGATAACCTCCATCGCAACCATCTCCACACATAAATCCGCAGCATGCCAATAGGTCATTAACAGACAGTGATACATTCTGCAGTGATGGTTTGGCGATTAGTAATTGAAATATTATCAAGTAAATGGACCATTTCATAGGAGACGAGTGAGTTATTAGTTATGTAGTTCTCACAATGCCAAAATGAATACAGAAACGATCGGATAGGGATTCCACTGCACCAAAAGCCCAACAAGAACCGCAATGTCCCTGAAAATAGAGACTAATGACATTTGGGTGTGATTATGAGACCAAACTGAACAGTTACTGCCAATAACAAAGGAGAACAACTTACCTGATCTTTTTCAAATTGACGGTTGAATGAGATAGGTAACAAGGCAAAGTTAGAAGCCTCAATAAGCTGTCCAAATAAGAATTATCTTCAAAAAACAGCGATGCAACTTACCAAGTATTCTTCCAATGGAGCTGCAATGAGACCATGCTGTTCTAGCATCAAATTCCTTTGGCAGTTTCAAAGATTTGATATAAGTTTTGACAGGAATATCAACAATGGCATTGGGAGGCGTCTGTTTGACTCCAAGTATATATTTGAATTGGCCAATCTACACAGTAAAGAAGAGTCAGTAGTTGAAGCAATCCTTTTCTAATGATGATGATAATCATCAGTAGGCTTATCCCAACTATTTGACAATGGCTTTATAAATCTTCAATCCTCATTCATTCATAAGAACTAATGAGATTTTAACTCTATTTGTGTATCTTATTGCCCAACTTTTAGCAATATTGATTAGAACATAAATTAAAAAAATTTATCTTGCCATGAATAATTGAGTTATTTTATTTTTATTAAGTTTCAATATTGAATGAGGATATCAACAACAACAACAACATCAAGCCTTTATCCCACTATGTGGAGTCGGCTACATGAATTCTTTTTCTCCATTATGCCCTGTTAAAAATTAAATTCTCATTTACTAAAATATCCGCAAAAAATTGAATGCTAGCTTGAGGCTTCTTTCTTTAATTTAAATGGAAATTTTAACATATGGACCAACTTGAATAATTTTTAATATTTTGCAGGACTAAATTGGGACAACACGAAACTCTGGGACTAAATTGAACATTTATCAATAGTCGGGGGATTATTTTGAGCTTTTACTCTATACAAAAATAAGGATTTAATGATTACTCTTGATGTAATCCTATGATATTTAAAAGCTCTTTGGTTAACTCAAACTCTTTTAGTGTTATTCAATGCAATATCCTATGATGCACAAACACGGCGACACAGACACGGGACACTTAATTTATTGAAAATATAGGACATGGACATGGGTTGGACATGATATTATAATTTTTATATTTTAAAAATAGTGCATATAAATTGAATAAGTATAATATTAAAATAAATTTATAAATGACAAGTTATTTAATTAGAGTGTGTGTTTCAAATGATAAATATTAGGATGTCAAGAGTTTGTGTATCAGGCATCGAGAGAAGAGATGACAATATTGTCGAGAGTCAGACATCGATGTTATGCAGTAAGTATCGAGCTTCAATGTTAAGAGGACATCTGTCGTCGATGTTGAGAGGGCGTTGGTCATCAATTTTAAGAAGACGTTGGGGTATCAGAGCATGGAAAGTGTATCAGAGTCGTGGTCGTCGATCTACGACCACAATCGAGTTGCTATATTTTTTAGTCATTCCATGTATTTGTTTTATTATGTTATTTGTCTCTATTTATTTATGTTATATTTGTTTTTTTCCCGTTTTTGCCCCTTACTTATGGGGGGCGTAAGTAAGCCCTGAGGGCATTGTCATCTTCCTTATATTGAGTCATATATACAAGGCTATTTATAGCACCTATGTTTCTCTTTGAAAGTTAATGATTGAATGATAAAAAAATTTGTATCATTGCTTGAGTTCTTGAGAGATCTTGAGAGTGTTTGGAGAGAGAGAGATCCCTAGGAGAGGGAATTTGGATCACCCACTAACCTTGGAGACGGTCGGGTTTGTGGTTCTTCTTCTTTATCTCATTGTCACCCTTTCTTCATCTCATAGCAGCCGGCCAAGGGTTCTCCCGGACCCCTAAGCCGTCGGCCATCGAGCCCCACTACCACCCGCCGCCTGGGCTCTCTACCCCATCCCCTTCCCACGGCCAAACCAACCCACTGCCGGCCACCTTGGATTCTTCCCCCTCCCTACGTGCCACCACGGCTTTCCTAAATTAGATTTCATGATTTTGGTAACTCTATTTATGATTAAATTCAAATTTATTTGAATTTGAAATAGTTGTCAGATTTATGATATCCTATTTTAGGAAACATACTGAATCCCTTCATATTTAAATTATAAATTAAGATGGGAAGAGATATTTCTTTCCAAACTAATTCAACAATTTAGACCTCATTAAACTCCTCCCTCCCAAGCAAGCCGCCGACCCTAGCCTCCTTTCCCCTCTTGAATTCCATTACCTATTTTTGATTGACATAATTAGGACAGATTTTGAAGTCAAATCCACCTAATTTGAAATTTAAAATCTTTCCTAAATTATTAAATCTATTTATGAAAAGTTTCCTAATTAACCCTCAAATCAAATCCTAATCAAATTTAAATTAGATTTGATTGAAGCCTTTTGCCTTATGAGGAGTTCACTTATTTGGAAGGTGTTTAATTCCTCCCCAATTAACTCCAAACCCTCATTATAGCCGCCGGCCCCTCTCTCCTACCCGCCCCTATCTTACTCACAATCCCTCTGTCCTTGCCATTAATTCTCCCTCTCTTTGGAATAATTTCAAATTCCAAACCCCTAAATCCTCCACACTCAAATATGAAATTCAAACTTCATATTTGATTATTCTCCTCCTCTAACCTAACCCTAATGCCAACGTATGGTTCCCCACCTATGGCCGGCCATCTCTCCCCCTCTTTCCCTTTGGAATTTGCAAGATGAGTTCCTCTCTCCATAGGAACCTTCAAGGAAGTAGCAACCATCGTCTTCAGCACATCAAATCTTGAGAGAACTTCTTCCTCTCCAGTTGAACCTTCAAGGGGAGCTACGTCAAACTTCTTCAACATCTCGCCCACTTGCTTCTGGATTTTGATAAGGGTGAACTTTTTCCCCTTTTTAATTACCTTCCTAATCCCCTAATCTTGTAGGTGATGACGATTCACAAGGAGCTGAGCTTCACCTTTGCCTAAGCTAGTAAACGTAGGGTTTTGTTTCGTCGTTGCCCAAAACTTAATAAACGTAGGATTGCGTGTACTTTCCATGCTTCTAATCTTATTATTAGATTAGGGATTTTGTTGAAAGATATTCCATTTGAATGTTGTTGAATCTCTTTATTGTTTTGATAAATCAAGCGCTTATTGTGCAACTTGGCCTAAACGGAAGTGACCGTTCTTACGTTTTATTTTGTCGTTTTAATTTGCTAATAGTTCTAATTATAATTATTTTTATCAAGAAATCATGCAAATTCTTATTGCATCCATTTTAACGCATGTTAGTCCTGCATCAAATTGCTAGCATCGTGCATCAATGTCAAGGCATTGTTCGACTCTGATGTTGAGATAGTTTTGAAATTTCAATGTTGTAAAAACATTTGATGTCGATGTTGAGATGACATCGGACATTGTTATAAAACCAAATTCGCAACCCACAAAGAAAAATGAAATGAGAATATTTGATGAATAGAGTATTGAGTGTGGATAGGATATAAGAAATTTAGTTTTAATATTTTAAATAAAGAAAATTTGAAATACAAGAAATTATATTTAAAAAAATTCATAAAACATTTAGGACACGCATGTCGGACACGAGTGTCCAATTTATATTTAATATTTTTTAATCGGATACGTTTTGGGGAGTCTGACACATATCGAAAGAGTGTCGGACGCGTATCGTGTCGGACACTGCGCACCTCTTTGGGGAGAAGTGTCGGTGCATCATAGGCAATATCATAGCCTCAGAGGTATCTTTAAGACTTTAATCTTAAAACACTTTTTCAATCAATTCTCTTGGTAAATTTTTTTAAATCGATTTTTTTGGAACTCAATCATGTATAATGAAGGAAAAAATTAAGATTCTTTTTTTGCTCTTTTATTTTTTTCTTAAATATGTTAATAGAAAAAAAAATCCCTATATTTTTAAATTTCCTCTCATGAAATCAAATTAGCTCCTTATATATTTATATATATATATAAACTTGTGCTCCATTACCCGTTATTCTAACTTGATTATATCAAGTAACATTATTTCACCTATAATTTTCATTACCTTGAATCACTTTTTTTTATATATATTTGCCCTCCAATCAATTATATTTAACCATTTTTTTACAGCATAGGAGATTCTAGTGATGCTAAGAAAGAGTCTACTTACCGTGTAATTGGAGAAGCGAGGATTCATAAAAGCTTTCCATCCAGCGGCAGGGTTTGCATTAATTCTCTGTACCATTGAATCCTGCATAAATATCAAAGCATAAAATTAGATAAATTATTATATCATAATAGATGAAAAAGAAATAGGGCTAAGCATTAAAAAATCACCAACACAACTCACCTTCAGAACGTTAGCATCAAACATGGCTCGAGGCATTGATTTCGCAGCAATGACCTACAAAAAGACGTAACTCATATACACTGAGAGTGATTGAAAGGTTTTAAAAGTAACAAATTATGAAAAAATAAAAATAAACTTTGCTTAGGATTTAAAATGATTCATAACATTTTACGATATAAGAATTAAAATATTACAAAAATCTTTTTAAATGATGTAAATAACAAGATTTAGTAAAAGATATAACACTCCTAGCTCCCAAATTATGAGATTGCATTGAGTTTCAAATTGATCCTTTGATCGAGCTTAATGATATATATTTGATTAGTACCAATTGTGAGATTTCCCTGGTGTATGCTTTTTGCTGATGATATTCTTCTAGTTGATAAGATTAGAGAGGGAATTGCATGTAAACCTAAAGGTTTTCGTTTAAGTAGATCTAAAACTGAATATATGAAGTATAATTTTAATATTAATAGATCTAAAAGGGGGATTGTGACTTTGGATGATCAAGTCATCAATAAGAGTACATGTCTTAGATATCTTGGATCTATTATTTAGAGTGATTGTGAAAGAGATGGGGATATTATTAATAGAATTCAAGTTGGATGGTTGAAGTGGAGGAATGCATCGTGCTTGTTGTGTGATAGAAAAGTTTCTTTTGCTTAGTTACATTTTAAATACGCTCTTTCTAAAATTACCCGTCATAGAAACTATAGTTCCGAATTTGTAGTTCATAGTCTCTAGTAAGAATGCAGGAAAAAAACACGATTGGAATTCACATCAGGGCCAAAAGAAGGACCAAGCCATTTATGTAAAAAGATACAAAATCTAATAGAAGGGAGCTAATTACCAAAAAAAACCTAGGTTATTCGCATTTCCAGCTAAGCTACTCAAAACCTAATTAAAAAAATCAAGCTTTTAGGGCGATTTCATTTACCTGCTCGAATAGGATTGCCGCGGCCAAATACAGCAGCAGAAGAGCCGCCACACAATGCGATCGCCCGGCCATCCTCATCCCCTTCTTGCCCTCCTCCCCTCCCGAGCGACGGCAGCCGAGGGGAAAAAGACTATTATAGATTACAAGGAAGGGAAGATGAACTGTGAATGGCGGAAAAAATAGATTTTTATTAGCTAGGAGGTCGCCAATGAGGGGATCTTAGAAACTTTGCATTGGGAAAGATGCTGGGAAGCTGACGGGAATCAGCCGAAATTGCACGAAAATTTTCGCTATCACGATAACGTTATGGTTGATGAGTTGCACTAGGAGTCCAGCAGCGTAGTATCGTTAAACGTCCGTATGGCTAAGTTGTTACTTGATCTGGGCCGTTCATCCTAGAATGTCAGAAATGGACGATAGCGATGTGAAGAAGGGAAGCTCTCCGTTGGTTCTGCTGTTCGGGGGCATAATACGGATGGTCTTTATCACTAGTGTGGAAGTTGCTAGGCTCTGCCGGGGTCTAATCTACTAAAAAATTATTATGTGCGGGTTTGAATTCGCCTGAGATCAATAAAAATGGGTCACATGGTCTCAAAAAATGTTCCGCACTTGGACCGAGGGCTCGATACCACTCAATATCGAGCGCGAAACCGGACGGTTCTCCCGTCCGATGTCTGCACAGACTAATCTCTCCCAATCTACGAGAAATTATTAAGTTGCGGAGACAAATTATTTTGGAGCCCGGACTCAAATCCGGACTGTGACTATATATATTACTGTGACAAAATATTTTAATTTCAATGCATTCATTTCATTTTTTTATTAAAACTCATAGTCTCAAGCTCTCGATCTATCATAAATTTACAGAAAATAAAGTTCACATCACAATTAATTTTTTTTCTGAATTTATTTTAAAGTATTTTTAACCAAAAAGAAAAATATTTTACAGTACTAGACATATATTAATTAAATATTTCAAGTTCTTTCTAATTAAATTAAATTTGAGCAAATAATCAAAACTCAAAATTTTTATCCTTGCCATAGTACATGGAACGATTTCTCATCAACCATTCACTACCAGAAAAAAAAAAAGTTTTCGTAGCAATTAGTCAGGGCAGTTTGAAAACTGCCGCTGAATCCCCCAATTCACAGCAGTTTGGTCCACTACTATTTGTACCGATTTTGACCGGTAAAAATAGCACCGATTTTGACCGCTGCCAAAATCTCGATATTATGCCTGACTTGATGCTCTCGGCTTGACCTAATTCTCCCCTCTTCTTGTTTTCATGCATTCTGTTAGCTTAGCCTTAGATCGGAGCAAAGGATGTGTTGAAGCCCTTGTCCGTCGCGCATTTTTCCCCCAATCTTTAGCTCACGCGAGGGACATTGCTCTATCGTCCATGCCTAATAACTTGTGATTTTATTTGAAATGCTTTCATCAGCATTCTTTTATTTTACTTGTGTTATAACCACTGCAAAATCTAGCTATCTACCATGTCGGTCTTTAAACAACTACATAATGTCATTGCAACGAATTACAATTATAGCAGGGGTGCAGTGGTTTCACTGCAAAGAAAGTAGTAGCATGTGTAACTTCTATGATAAGTAAAAATTTGTACTGTGATAGCCCTATTTTTTGTACTGATTGTGCTGCATTATATTGTACTGTGTGCCTCTCAGGATCTTTTTGGGATAACTTTCTCATTGCTTTGCTTTTGAAACACCAACCATAATTCACTAATTTATTGCTATTTTCTCATTATTTTAAAAAAAATTATAATAGAAAACTACTTATTACAATAAGAATTGCTAATTTATTTTTCTCACATTAACTTTCCAACCATTTTTGACTTTGTTTGGGACAGCTTTTGACCACAATTTTTTTGTTGTTTTTATTGAATTTGTGTGCTAAAAAGCTACTTATGAAAGCATTAATTCCTGAAACAAAACCTTTACAAAAAATTATAATCGTCTCAAATATACAATTTATTTTATTTTATTTTACATTTTTAATTCTTGATAAAGTTGAAAATCAAATCACAAATTTATTACAAGCCCCATTAATTGAATCTCAACATGCTAGCTGGCTTTGAGATACTCAGGTTCTGTCAACGAAGCCTGCCGCTACCAAGCACCCAATGCATGCTACCAATTTACCATTAATTATTAATTAATTACTGTCGGGCATAGCTTCCTTTAATTTCCAATGCATGGTATGCTGTATGTATGCCCAGTTCCCACCAATTGCATGCACATGCATGCATGCATGCATATCCATACAGAGAAAAGCCATTCATCATTCAATACGTCCGCTTATACTAATTAAAACTGATCTTCAATAATTTGCTTAAGCATCCAGCCTTATATTTTACACAGCCTGAACGATGGATAGCTACATTATACATAGAGAGAGAGAGAGAGAAAGCTAGAGAGAGTTTTAATAAGATTATGCTGATGCTGAGCTGGCTGCTATGTAGGCTTGCGACACGACAGGTCATATATCAACACACAGGTCTTTGCGAGTAAACGAATCGCCTGAGCTGTAGTCCACTGAGATAAGAAAAGGTAATATGTATCTAATGAAAGAACATATATTCGGTTTACCGTGCTATAATTCTTTCAATTGCATGCTCTAATTCTTTCAATTGCATGCTCCCTCACGCTAATGATGGTTTCACAAATCTATCGAAAAGTTCTATGCATCAATAAAAAAAGGATATGAAGTTCGATCTAAAATAGGGGTAAATTATAACTGAGATGAAGGAATATATGCAAATAATCGTAGTATACGTTTACAACCGTTATTGTACTCTTTAAATATACAAGTTTTAATTAGTATCAATTACTACTATTGTTGTCATAGTTAGGGGTAAATATCCCCCATATTTTCATTAGACCATAATGCTTCGGCACTAACTAACAAAATATAATCTAATCAATACATAATACAGTTAGGTAGTCTTAAACATGTTTGCATACTCCAACTTCGCCTACTAGTGTAGGATCAATTGAATACTTAAACCTCTACATCTAGCTATACCAATATGATAGTTTCTTCTATATGTATTTACAAAGTGATATACGCAATCATCATGTACGTGCATGAGGTGACAAGAGGAATCCAATAATATCATAATTTAACTATGCTTCATAATAATGCCATAAAATTATTCTTATTTATAATTACATTTAATAAGATCGAGTAAAATATATCATATACCTATAATATACCTCTCTATCACTACTAAAAAACTAAGGCTTCCGCAGCAGTTATTAGCCGCGAATTAATAAACCGATGTAATATAACCTGCTCAAATTAGCCGCGAAAATCTTAAAAAAACCGCGAAAGCAAATAAATCCCTAGTTTTATTATTCGGACAGGATCTTGCTTTGCTCCGCGCGCGCGACTCTCTTTCCCATCCGTCTCCTCCCCATCCGTCTCCCTCCCAACGATCGCTGACGCCGACACCGACACCCAGACCGACGCCGAAATAGACAAGGAAGCCGAAGCTTCCTTCGGTTCGCATTCCCGACGCCTCCGACTCCACCTCCAGGATCGGAACCGAACGCTTCTCCCGCTCAGATCTCTCTCTCACGACCGAAACCGACGCCTCGCTCCCGTTCGAAGCCGCCCGGATCGCGACTTCCCCTGCTCCCGTCACTCCTTGCACCCTTCTCTTTGCAAGGCGAGTATTCCCCTCCTCTTCTTCTTCCCTTCTTCTCTCTTACTTCATTTCTCCTTCTTCTTGACCCTCTTCTACCTTAGCTCCCTTTACTTCTCCCCATCCTAATCTAAGATCTCGTGGATGATATCTAATTTATGATCGATTTTTGGTGAACTCTTAGTATATATGTTGGCATTGTTGTGTGCTCATGAACTTGATAAGGATGCATAGTGATTTAATGAGGATATGAAGGTTGTGAGGCAGCAATTCCCATGTCGATTTGTTCAGAGAAGTGTTATGAGTATGGCACATTAGCCATTTGATGAAAGGCCGCTAAGAGAAAGTTGTAATTATTGTGCTCATGTTGAGGTTTTATATGGTAGTCTTGCTCACATGAATGTTTCCCTTGCTCATATGGCTTTCACGGTGACGGCGAAGCTTATACATGTGACAAGTATAGTATTTTTTTGTTCGTCAATTCACCTATATCTATCTCTTAATGACTGATTTGGTGTCCGACAAGCTTCAGGATTCGTCTTTTCTGATTTAGTGATCACATCAATTGAAGGTAACTTTCTCCTTGGATAACTTCTGGTATTGGTTCTGTTACCCGACATCTGTGATCAGTGCTTTCATTGTTAAGCAAGTGTAGTACTACCTTGTATCATTTTTCTCTGCTCAATCTCGTGTCTACCGGAGAAGTACTGGCTGTGATTTACCACTATTTCCATTGTAAATGATTTCTGTTTGTGGACGGATCTTCCTTGGCCAACTGTTCTTCCCAATAAAATCGAAGTTTTCTAAATAACTGGGTGTGTTCATTATTCAATTTCTTGGTTATTCCTTCAAGCTAAGAAAAAAAAATGAAAATTACTTTTCCACTCAGTTTCTCCTAAATCAAACGAATGGGCAAAGACAATTTTGGATTCATTTCCTTCAGTATTTTTTTTTTATTTCATTTTCATTTCCTCAAGTGTCAAGTGGCTTTACATCATAAAATTATATTCACTACAATTACGTGCCTGAGGGTGGGGTAGACAAGTGGTGTTGGAAAATACTCATGAGTCATATGTTTTAAGCGAGAATTTATATAGATTCAGTTCATCATTATTCATGTTGTTGGAGTATTTTCTTGGAATGTGGGAAGGACCGATTGCATCAAATCTTCTTTCTTATATTACAACTTAGTTGGGATTCAACATTAAATGATTTGTTGGCTTGCTACTTGGTTTTGGGAAAGCACGGCTGCAATTTTCTTTCTCAAATACATATGGTTTCATGGGTGACTTTGTGTTAGAGAGTTTCATGAGCTGTCTTCGGATTGAGAAATGCCATTAATATATGGGTATGGGTGTTAATAGATTATGAAGGGTTATTATTTTGTAGATCTGATGCTTAGTCAATCCCATATCAAATGTTATTTATGTCTGTTTGATAATTAAAATCATTTAACATTTTTAGGCCAAATTTGATTTCCCTGCAAATATAAAACATTGGATGCTGCAATCTATTGGTGTCAAGTGACGCAATTATAAAACCAATTTGAAAGCAGAACATTGGGATAGTAGACCAGTACAAGAGATTATGGTGGCTGTCCCTGCAGGAGTAGACCCAGTGCAGTGGTGCCAACTAGTTAATAAGTGGTCACAACCCCAAGACAAGGTGAGTTAACAAAATAAACAGCGTTAATTTTTTTTTTCATAAATGAAATTAATATATGATTATTTGTTGTAGGAGAGGGCAGCAAAAAATGCGGAAAATGCAAAAAAACAAAAGTGTCCGCATACGATGGGTCGGGTGAGCTCTATAAGGAGACAGGAAGAAATGGTATGTAATCAAAAGAGTAATATAATTATATTTTAATGAAAAAAATTTAATTTTAAATTTTTGTAGTCTATACGAGATCGCTTGTTATTATGGAAAATCAATCGTATGCGTAAAGATGGATCATGGTCGTCTGAGGAGGCCAGACAAAAATGGGTAACATCGTAAGCATTTCACATGATCGGTTTATTGAATGCTAACTATGTATATATTTTTTCTAAATTTAGTTACATGCTTGCTGAGGAAGGGTTGACGCTAGAAGATGGAAATTTCGAGGCCATTGAGAAAGTCTTCAAGATAATCATGGGGCCAGAACACCCAGGGAGGGTACGAACACAGGGTTTTGGGGTCACTCCAAGTAGATATTTTCCCCATAGCACCACGACTCCAGGCAGCAGCAGTAGAAGCAATTATGCACTTGAGCGAGTTGTAAGACTTGAGGAGGTGGTGCAAACACTACAAAGTGAGATGAAACAATTCATGAAAAATTACCAGGGACAACATCCACCACCAGGAAGCTCAACTATGGTATGCAAAATTAAAAAGTTAAATATTTTCATTTATTAATTTATTTATCACCTTAATTTTTACTGATTATTTCTATATTAATAGCAGGGAGATAATCAATTAAACTGAGAGAGCTTAGATATTGGGGAGATTCATTGAAATTTCTGAATCTTCTAAACTTTCGCCATTAAAAAAGTTGGGCCAAGCTATTACAATTTTTAAACTTGATGAGGTTTTTGGTTTCTTGACAATGCTCCCTGTTGAAGGTATTTCGTTATACCGTATGGTCATTCATATTGGAATGTCATCTTTTTTTTATTTAAATAAGAAGTATTTTCCCACGTAGCAGTTAATGTAAGTCTATATTTCTTTTCTTTTCAGGTTAATCAAGCAAGGATTTAGGATTGCGCAAGTGACTGCTAGTAGAGCGACTGACGAAGAGATAGCTGGATCACATGAGCTGTTGTGGCTGCTAGTGAGGTTCGCATAGGCTTGGAAGGCCACAAGCAGGAGTTCACGTTTATTATTGGAGATGCTCATGATGAAGTTGTTTTTTAGAATTGAGAATTTATTAGCTTTTAATATTTCTCCAAATTTATGTCTTGTTTTAATAGTTTAAGCTTTTTTGGAAATTTTGCAACTCAGTTTACACACTTATCTGGAACTTTACGGATCAAAGTTTTGAGTCTTCTTCCTAAACTGAAACACTGTGTTCATCATGATGCTTTTAAATTTTGCTTATTTCTAATGGCAGAGAAGTCGAAAATGAAGATGAATTATGCTCCAATCCCATATTAAAATAGCAGGTTTCTCATTAACAAGAATATCAGTCACTGAAACCTCTCGAGCTTGTAAGGTCCAGAAGTATATGAGATTGTTCTGAATCTGAATCATGTGTTAATTAAATTTATTGCATTTTCTTCCATCAAAAGATCAGGTGCTTGAATGATGTCATTGCTGAGTTTGTGGAGAAGAATAAATTGTAGCAAATAAGAACAGATGTATTTGCAGTATTCTGATTGGTTGTAATATCATTACCAGAGCATGGAGACAAGCAAGAAATGTTGCTAATGGCTTCGATAGTGATATGATTTTAAGTTTTGGTCTTCTTTAATTGTTTATAAAGCTGATATGCTCAAGGCTTAGGCTTTTTTGATTTATGTAAACAAAATAAAAATTGAAATCTGGTGTAACTCTTATTCATGGATTGGTTGAGATTGCTATGATGTGTAGTATGCATTAAATCGTTTAACAGTTTTTTTGACTGATTTTTTTAACATATATTTTAATGTTTTTTGCTGCTTGATAGATTATTTGACAGTTTTTTTGATAGATTTTTTTCAGTTGACTTGTATTTACCATGAATGTATGATTTTTTAATAATTGTCCTTGTTTTTTTGTTCATACTAATAGAAATGACCAGTGGCTCATTTCGACTTCTCTATGAGAAGTCCAAAATGAAGATAAATCAGCCAAATTGTTCATACAGTTGAAGATTTAGCGATCAAGCAAAAATAAAGAAAAAGAATTTTAGTTAGTTGAGAAATTCTCTTTATCATTGTAGTTGAACTTGGGTTTATCTTAATCTGATGAGGTAATTCATCAACCCCTCTTATATTGTTGCTGGTCGCACGCCAATGATTAAAATCCCCATTCATTCATATAGTAAGCTCTCTGGTCATACATTTAGTAAGCTGATGATGAAATGGGAATCACTGTGTTAGCAATCAAGTGCAGGCTATTTATTCAAAGTTGTTGAATATACAATTATAATTTTGTTTTAAATTTTTGATTGAAAGCTATTGATTTTGTTGCACATCTACCAAGCAAAATTCTTCAATTGAATGATAAATGAATATTGGGCTTCTTGATGAAGCTTATGAAATGATAACAAGAATGCCAGTTTCACCCAAGGTAGATGGAGTGATGTTACTAAAGAAGTTGCCTTCTTTACATGGCACAGATAAAGCAAGAACACAAGAGAAGAAACAGAGAACAAGTGGATGAATAAAATATGTTTTCAGATCTTATTCATTATGCCTAGGTACAGTCTATATATAGATACTAGTGAGCTACAAGAAGTGAAACAAACCAATGTAAGAGATACACGTGTACAGACTATCTTATTTTGTTTTAACCGGTTTATATATTCTATTAGTTGCAATATTTCTCTTTCAAACATATATGCTGTTGTTCTTATTCTTTGAGCGATGCTGCTTCAGCTTCCCCTGCAGAAGGTAACTTAGGGAAAGATTGGCTTGAAGACAACATGTTTGTAGCCTCGAAGGCAAATTCTATCCCTGTTAATAATCATTACCATGGCAAGATATCCATGGTTGTGATAGATAAAGTTTGTATTGACCAGATCTGAAAAAGTGCCCTGTTTAACAAAGCTTTTCTTGGTTATGTTCAGTTGGAAAATCAACTAATGGCGCTACGTTCGAAATTCCTGGCAGGTAAATTCCCATCCGGTTTTGTAACCATTGTGTGAGTAATTGCATCTGCTGCCAAGTAATTCAATAATGACACTATATTGAGGTGACCTTAAACTCTGCTTCATTAAGACATTTAGAATTGTTCTGAGAATGCTTACGGACAATTTTTGCTCTTTCATTTTAAAACAAAAAGATTTAACATGTTTGAAAATTTGAATGTGTTTTGGGACGTAATTTTTGCCTTAATGTGCCTGAATGTGATGGACCGATTGCAGGATCTTCTGCATATGTTGATGACGAAGTGGGTGCCTGTGATGTAACTGGAGATGGTGACATCATGATGCGCTTTCTTCCATGGTAGTACTCTAATCCTATTCTTTTAGCGGCTGTGAAGTCACGTCCTTCTAGTTTCTCACTCCAGAATTTTGGGAGCTATAGAGCTTTTATAAAAAATTTATGAGAGGGTTGTCATTGTAAGGGATCGGAATCGGTACCATCACTTTACAGATGGATTCTTTGACAATAGTACTATGATTTCATGCAGACGTTACTTGACATGTAAATAGCTAAACAGAAGAAAAAATTGGAACAAAAGTGACCAAGGAAAACCTATCTTACAAGATCATATTTATATAAGCAATACAAATGTGATAGCGAATGCATTTACATATACCTGCATCAATTTAAAACCTATCTTACAACTTAAATATGATAGCGAATGCATTTACATTTACCTGGTTAAAGTCCTCATTAATATATATTTTAATGTACTTATGGAAATAATGCATTTACAAGTTTATTGACAGCAGTTACCGCTAAGTTGTGTTTGAAGCAGGTACCTCAATTTAAAGTATAATTTTTTTTTAAATATATTATATTATTATAAATTTATAATATACTTAGTAGTTAATATAAGTTTATATTTCTTTTGTTTTCAGGTTAACCAAACAAGGGTTTAGGATTGAACAAGTGACTGCTAGTCGATTGATTGACGAAGAGAGAGCTGGATTAGATGAGTTGTTGTGGCTACTAGTGAGGTTCGCATAGGCTTGGAAGGCCACTAGGAGTTCACGTTTATTATTGGAGATGCTCATGATGAAGCTTTTTCAGAATTGGGAATTTATTAGCTACTGAATTCACGTTTATTATTTCTTATCTTTTTGTTTTAATATTTCTCCAAATTTATGTCTTGTTTTAATAGTTTGAGATTTTTTGGAGAATTTTTTTTTATTCTTGTATTTACTTTTGGATATATTAAGTTCCTGTATTACTCACTGAGAAATGCTTGTATTCATTTAATTCTATATATATTTAAGCATCCATTTTGACATTACTTATGTAATATTTAATTATAAAAATGATTTTTTTTTTTTGCATTATATTTTTTTTAATCAGTCCTAAATTTTTCCAGAGGTTTTAACACATGCTACAAACACTGCTATAGCCTTCCTACATCAGCGCTTCCAAACCGCTGTTAAAGACCTACACAGCGCTTCTAAACTGCTGCTATAGCCTTCCTACAGCAGCGCTTCAAAACCGCTGCTATAAGCTTCCTACAACAGCGCTTCCCAAACCGCTGCTAAAACCTTACCAGCGAACGCAGATGCGGCGGATGTGCAGCGGATTTTAAACCGCTGCTATAGGTTCGAAAATGTGCTGCGAAATCCTAGTTTTTTAGTAGTGCATGCGGTGGTCTAACGACGATGGTGGTGCTAGAGCTCTTGAAGCTTCAAAGCTCTCTCTCATTTGTATCTAAAGGTCCACCATATATGTAGAGAGTGAGGGTCTATTTATAGATTTTTTAGAGTGACATGTCCCGTAAAGATGGAGAAGATTTGGAGCAGATTTAGAGTGCTCCATCAGAAGACCCATATTGACCCCCTTAATTATAGAGTGTTTGCCAAGCATTTATATGCCTACATGATGTCAAAATTAATCAATCTTGAGCTCGTTGGATGCGTCTTGTAGAGCTGCTCGATTTGACTATAAGCAAGTTATATTTGGATATCATTTGGTAATCTAATTTAGACTTTGAATCTTCCAAATAAGCTATGAGCCAACCACCCACCCCCCCTGATTTGAACCCATTTTTTGCTTGGATTGGACCAATTTTATTGTCGCTGGGTTCGTCTCTTCGAGACATTCAGTTTGACAATAAGTTAGGTGAAATTGGAATTTAGATAGTCTCTAAATTAATTTTGGATGTTTCCAACTTGAACATGACTTGAGATTCGTGCTCGATGAAAGCAATTTTTGTTGACGTATCAATAATAAAAGAATGGGATCAGTAGATCGATGGAGTGTTTAGTATTCTGACAAAATTTACGAAAAATGCTACTTTAAAAAAGACTTTAGATAAAGTCTTAGTTTCTACATAGTTAAAAGGTTCACGCGCTAAGAAAAGCTAAAAACTCTATTGTATTTTTCAATGATAGCTGTTGATGATCACCATCAACAATCATTGTTATTATAATATGAATTTAGGCACTCAACTATTCTTGTATGACTGATGTGTGCTTGCGGAGACCTGAACTCTATAAATATGTATAATGAGAATCAAACAACTCTTCGCAAATATATAATTCTTTTTTTTTTTTCAATTTTAGTGCAGGATAGATTATTGCACTTTTAATTGTATAATAGATTATTGTAATTGGGCTAAGTCTTGTATTTTCTTTTTTTGTTATTTTTTATTTTTCATAAAAAAAATTTCTTTTGTTTTACAACTACTATATTTAATAGCTGAATTCTTATATATACATCAAAGATATTAAACGCATTCTATCATCATAATTTTTTTAGCATATAACTATTAGAGTTTAGAGATCAATATAAACTTAATAAAGAAGTTTGGATAGCATTAAAAATTTGAATTTTGTTCAAATACGGAAAAAGATAAATGAAGAAATTTGAAAAATATAATAATTATCTTAGTTCTGCAAATTTACAGAAACACCACAACAAGTAGCCTTGGAGAAGAAGTAATGCTAGCGTACGTAGTAATATTGAAATAATTAAAACTTACTGTGTTGTTTCTTTGTTGTCACGAAATAAATAAAATAAAAGAAAATTTGACTTTGTATACTCTTACTCGATCTGAAGAGAGAGAAGGAGAAATATGTAGGAGGAGAAAGCCTCCCACTCTTGCTAGAAGCTTTTGAAACTACTTTTTTATTATTTTCAGTTTTTTTTTTTTGACAATAAAGCTCTAATGAGTATAATATCACTCAATCATAATACCATTTAGACAGTTAAATACTAAAAAATAAGTTATAATTAATGAAATCAACAATATAAGTGATTGAGATTTTTGTCTAACATTACCTAAAAGCTGCTTCTAATATCTATAAATATAATTGAAATTTGGAGATAACTTAAAAATCTTTAGAGCTTAATCAAATGATTAACTCTGATGATCATTAATAGTAACAACCTCTCCATCATCATTGCCTAAGTAGCATCACCTGATTGTTTTAATTTGACACACGATATTGCCCATAAAATTAATGCATATTGTCAACATCAAACCGGAATACACATTAATTGCCCCAATAAAATCAAAGCAAGTCATCAATTTCAATATCAATTCATGCATAATCTCATTAGAGAATGAGTGAGCGATAGCAATACCTCTCAATCTTGTCGGAGGATGGATGAAAGGTCAGTCTGTCATGATCTCATTACTTAATCATGCTTGATGGATGAAAATTAAAACCAAATAAAATAATATACTTTTAAGATAAAAATATATATTTTATTTCATACAAAATATAGATAAAATAAAATAGAAGTAAACCCAAACACAATTGATCAATTCAATAAAAAAAAAAAACATTACAAAAATTTAAATAAGCATTTTACAAACATAAAATTTAAATTTTATTTTTTTATAATATAAATATTTTCTATCTTTTTTTTGAATGATTAAATTAGTATATTTAGATCAAAACAATCAGAATTTGATAAAAGGAAAAAATTTCGATTTAAAAATTTATTATAAATCAAATATTTAGTCGAAAAATTAAAAATTATTTTAAAAAATATATTAATATTGTAAATAACAAAAAATGGAGTGTTATGCATGCAATTGCCCAATTTAAAACAAGGTTGAAGAACATGTATCTTCATTTCAATTCGCGCTGAAGACGACTCCCTCTTCTTCGCGGGAAGCATCCGTGGTCTTTCCATTCGGGTCCTCGTAGCGACCCATAACCATCTACTTTCAGCTTCCTTACCCATAATTTCCACTTCCACTTACCAAAAATCCCTCCTTTTCCATTCATCTCCACAACTGGCTCACCTGGTATTTCGTCTCAATACCATCCCCAAAACTCTAGGTGGTCCCGCCGATGGCCCCTGCTCTAACCGCCAGCCGACGGCGATGGATCTTCGTCCTCGCCGCCGCTGGGATCTCCGGCTACGGTGCCTACAGATTCTATCACCTCCCTTCTGTCTCAGCAAAACGCCGGAAGCTCGTCAAGCTCTTCACGGCCCTCTTCTCCGTTGCGGAGGCTATCTCCTCTTCAGCCGACGCCGTCAGTCTCCTAACTTCCGATCTTAAACACTTCCTCCGGTCCGATTCCGACGAGATCCCCCTAAGCCTCAAGCAACTCGCTAAAGTCGCGCGATCCGATGAGTTTTCAACATCAATTTCTAGACTTTCCGATGCCCTAGCAGTCGGAGTCATTCGAGGGCTTCACACTGCATCGGATTCTCCTGTAACAGAAGCTCAGACCAGCTCAAGCTTCTCTGATAGGCTTCTCGACAAGCTTTTCTCTGATAAAGGATCCGGTTTTGCCTCGGTGGTGGTCGGAAGTTTCGCAAGGAGCATGGTGATGGCCTTATATTGCAGAGGAGATGCAATTGATTCTTGCGATGTGCCAGCTTGGGTCAATTTGATGTGCACGGACAAGTGTAGGGAGCTGATTGCCAGCAGCATTCAGCTTTTTGTGAGAACTGCTGTGTCTGTTTACCTGGACAAGACTATGGACGTCAACACTTATGAAGTCTTGTTCTCCGGCCTCACAAACCCCAGACACGAGGCTAAGGTCAAGGACATCTTGGTTTCTGTTTGCAATGGTGCTGTGGAAACAGTTGTAAAGACTTCTCATGGGGTGCTGAGCCGTTCAAAGTCAAGTTCATCGATGACTAGTAGGAACGATCTCAACCAATTTGGTTTGTTTCAAAGTTTGAAGAGTTCTGGTGATATCAAGAGCAAGTATAGTAGTGGATGGGTTGAGCAGGTTTCATCAGTTTTAGCAGTTCCGAGCAATAGACAGTTTGTTCTTGATGTGACTGGTAGAGTGACATTTGAGTCTGTGAGATCTTTTGTTAAATTTGTCATGTGGAATCTACAAGATGGTATGAAGAGGAGTATGAATGTTGTTAGTGAGAAAGTTGTCGAAAGGGGCATGGATGTGATGAGGTACTTGTGCTCCAAGGCTATGCTTGCTTTCAGTTTATGTATTGCACTCTGCCTGGACATTGCAGGTGGAAAGAGAATTTTGTTGGCTGCGTAATTTGCAAGTGATCATGTCACTATGCAGCTGAGCATTTATTTTTGACACGATGCTTCTTAGAAGTGTTCATTCAATGAAAGTTTTACGCAAAGGTGTGGATGATTTCCATTGTAGCTTTTTTTCCCCTCCTTTATATAATTTATGCTCTTAGAAGTTGTTGCAAATGTGAGTGCAAATATAGAAACATTTTTTTAATTAAAATAATGATGCAATTAATTGAATTGCTAAATCTAAAACTATATATTATGATAAATGGAGTTTATAGATCTTATTGTTGAGTTCTTTGCTAGCTCTGTGTTCTATGACTGTTTCTTGTTGTGAAATTGTGTTGTTTGTGTGGAATATGATTGTGTTGATCAATCGGGTTGCATTGTCACCATGAATCTCAGCTCAGTTTGTTGTGTTTGCTGGAGGGTGCTTGCACACAATTTTTTTTTTCA